ATGTTAATGTATTTCTATTATAATTGTAACATTTGCATTATCAAAATAACAAATAGGCAAAACATGTCTCTGTGTCACAGCTTATTATAGATTAGACAAGTACAATTATTATAAAAATAAGAAGATGTGGTATATGATTGCCAATGAGACAACTATCCACCAAAATTCAAATGACTTGGATGTAAGCAATTATAGGCAACCATACAGCCTTAAAAAATATATGTTGCATCATTGCTAGGCCATTATAACAACATCAGCATTTAATGTAAATTACACCAATTCAGATAGTTTCAGGTATGATTAGATAATAGTGCATAGTGGCACCAGCTGATTCAACTAAAACCACTAATATGGCATATTCAAACTCTAGTACATGTACATAGTGGAATTAAACCATACACCACTGTTGGCCACCATTATTGAAATTATTATTCTGATAAGAATATTCCTCCATGCAGACCGCAACAATTAGCAAAACCTACATACTGCATAGTAAGCTATAAACGACCACGAAATGACAAATGTAAAACAATAAAACTAAAGCAGCCTGATTAATGTACAAAGCAATTATGAAAATTAAATATGATATACATGTATATACAGCAACAAACAACAATCACCAAACTTCTCGGTCCTCACAATGGACAGGTGCATACAGAATGTGGCGGGTTAAACATGAAAGCTGGCATAAAACTCTCCCCTATTAAATATGGGACAGTGTATGTGCATAATCTCAGACATTGAATCTTTAAAAAATAAATTGGAAATAACTTTCGAAAGTGGTAGGATTGGATAGCAGAAATATTACGATACAAACATTATTTGATACTTGAGAAATAGCTGAGATAAACATTTTCACCAATTCTTCCACAATATTCATCTTAACATCTGCCAAGTTTGCCTTTGGTTTTATAATTAATTGCCTATAGCGCCCTTGGTACTTTGATTAAATTACCGTATACGTATTTTTCCTATTAGAATTGAAATAATTCATACAAGCCATAGATTTGTTATCCTTTTCACATGGCCTGGGCCGTTATATTCGTTAATTATATCCCTCGTTTATGCTCGAGATAAAAATCGAATATAACGGCCCAGGCCATGTGAAAATTTCCAACAATTTTATGGCTTGCATGAATTATTTCTTAAATAACGAAACCACAACCCGCACCTCCAAATAATACACAATTTTTATCGCTATTTGTCTGTCATTACTGGACATCACAAAGGTTCCCGTAAAATTTTGACGTCACAATAGAAAATGTCTGACGCCACAAAGAAAAAGTGATAGTTCTATGACGTCAATAGTTCAAGTGTCGCAGATACTCGGGTCTCGAGGGGGAGCACTTCCTATATATACAAGGTGATAGGATGTGACGCTGGAATAGGTCACATTTTCATGCTTGAAAATATGTGAATACGCCCGGGGGGAAAACTATCAGAAATATATGATGTCAATAAAGTTCCCATTACTTGTTATATGAAAAACCCTGTATTATTTTCACAGCCAAAAGCCTCGCTGTAGGTAAGCATAACATAATGTTTCCCTCTTTTGACACTTTGGTATTCCACTTTTTCACTTTCCAACACACCACACGAAACCCAAACCAATATGGGAAAAGGTTACATTTTACCTACGCAGTATATGAAAAGGTATACATTTTTTAAATCTAAATTATATGAAAAGGGTAGGGTAACAGAACCTTATCGGCATCCCTATCAATTTAGGGGTCTCACTAATTAGCGACAAGAGGCGTCAAAAGGCGACAAGAATCGGCAAGAAGAATAATTTAGCGCCAAGATATCTTAATATTAATCATTTAAATAAATAATTATATAAAAATGCATTAAGAGGTTTTATTTTTAATATAACTTCTTATGTAGTTAAAAATCATAAGGTAAATGCATGAATGATTGTTTGGATTTGGGGGGGGGGGGGGGGGGGGGCAATTGTTATTCTTTAATTTTGCAAAGCCGATTTTCTCTATTCTTTATTGACACTTAGGATTAGCTCCTCGCGTATGCTCTTATATTTAGAGTAATTGCCATGTTCTTTTATTTACATAATTCTGGGATTCCGTAAAAATTCATTACAAAACTGCTGCTAAATAAAATAAAATTTGAAACTTTTTAAAACAACAAAATCAGCTGTAATTAATTAACCTTTTCTATTAATTTATTGTTTTGATAGTATTTAAACTTTCTTATCGCTAAATTTGTCTTCGTGTCTCTATTTTTTTCTTCTTACCGCTATTTGTTTTCTTCTTGTCGCTTCTTGTCCCTAAGATTCTTCTAGTCGCTTGTCGGTAGTTAGTGAAATCGCAATTAAGTATTGAAGTGGACCCCCACAGATATTGATAACGCGGCGGGGGGAAAAGTGACAAATTTTAGGTGTATTGCTAATTTTTTTTCAGAGATTGAGCACCAAGCGAATAATAGCTAATTATACATGTCCAATATTGAACAAATCGTTGCACAGTCCGCCGTCCTGGACGAATCCGGGTCCCTGTTCGCCCAAAAACACGTTCGCTCCCTTTCACGTACGCACCTTTATTATTGGTATTGTGTTGCATACATTTTTAATCGTGTTTAAATAAGTGTTTTGCTATAAATGAGATTTTTTATTGTTTCCTCAAAATACAGTGACATTCTCAAAACTTAAACATGTTTCCTTATTTATTATTTTGACGAAATGAACCATGAATAAAAGATAGTCATGAAGATTAAGGCAAGATTCATTCTTCTAAGTAGATATAAGAAGATGTGGTATGAGTACCAATGAGACAACTATCCATTCAAGTCACAATTTGTAAAAGTAATCCATTATAAGTCAAAGACTTGTCTTAAAAAAAAGGCAGAAGATACCAAATCCTCATTGAGTTTACTCATACCAAGCTAACTACATCAAGTATTTACATCAAAGCTAGTTATAACAACAATCATGATTTTCAAACAACAGAACTATAATACCAAATTTGGCTTTGTAAATACCAATTAACAGCTAGTTATCATACAGAATTAACTTTTAATAATTACAATCAAATCACAAAAAAAGATAATTTATTTTTAAAAATTCCCGAATTTTTATTACAGGAAATTTCAATATTTTGATAAATACATCTATAAAACATTTACTAGTATAATTCAACCAGTATTTGAATGAAAATAGGGTGCGAACGAACCCAGGGAGCGAACGTGTATGGAAAAGTCTACCAGCTAATATTGGCGAACTGAGGAAAGCAACAATAAAAGCAAGGATATTTACTGGAACACTCAAAAAGCTCGTTTTCAAATATTAATCATGGAGCAACTTGCCCAATCTGTCAATTGGAAGATGAGGATATATCATACATTTTCTAATTAGGTGCACAGCTCTAGAAGGAATACGCAGAGAGTCACTTGGTATACTATCAAGAGATTCACCATCTGTAAAATTGGGTTAGGAAACTGGAATTCAAACACACGAGAGAACAAGTATTGTTCCGCTAATTTTGGATTGTCAACAACTGGCTCTTACCAATAATCTCCCTCAAGGTGAACTTTTTCTAAATACACTAGAGGAACAAAGCAGGGACTTATGCTATAGACTCCATCTAAAAAGAGTGGCCTGTCTAAATGATTAGTATTCAGAAGGTCAGTGTGGTCGTTCTCATCTTCGCTAGCCAAGGGTTACGATCCACTTCCCTTCTCTCCACCCTTGGCGGATTGAGATAGAATTTCGGAGACACAAGGTAATGATTTTCATTGGTTGCAGTCGAAACTCGCTGCATCCAATCAAAAAGCGCCTATAACATGATCACGTGTAAATGTAGAAAGTGTATGTAAACAATTGCCACGTGCTTATTGTGCAACACGATTTTAATACATCCCTAAACATACGACTATATTTAGTGACAATTTGAATGTTTTTAATCAACTAATAGAAGTTCTTGTGTATGTTTCTTGCACAAATGCATGAATGTCAACGTATATTTTCGTTTCCTGCTTTACCAAGTGTGTAGAATCTAGACGCTACCGTGTTTTTACCTCCAAATTGAAGAGTTCAAGTGCTACCATTGGTCAAGCGGAATAATGTATTCGGAATGGGCGTGACTTTAATCTACCGATAGATGGCACAACATTGTTATCACAAATGTTGGCTTAATCTGCCAAGGGTGGAGAGAAGGGAAGTGGATCGTAACCCTTGGCTAGCGAAGATGGGTCGTTCTGCGCTATACCTTAAATTGCTTTCTGCAATCCCATAAAATAAAATATCGTATATTTTCTTTAATCTAAAGAACTATCTTTAATGTTTCGACAGAACTAATAGGTCGTCTGTATGGGTGTTCCGCGCTAAACCTATTATATCAATCCATGTCACAGACTCTTAAAATGCTGGGAAAATCTTTGAAATATAAAACAACAAAGTTAAAATATCAGGTCAGTGTGGTTGTTCCGCGCTATACCTGTTGATGGAAATAATTGTACAGATCTACAGATATACGTTAAGCTTTAATATCCAGTAGCTCTGGGAACAGTATATCTAACGTCAATATATATATATGTTCCTGAGTAGCTGTAAAATATAACAGATAGATCAATGGCTATGCATAATTAGATCGCTAAGGAATTATATAAGCTTAAATGCATGATTTTATAACTTATAGCATTTGGTAGTGCTTATAGATGGACGTAGTAGCACCAGTAGGTAGGATATTGTATTTCTTACCTTTTAGTTCACAATTTTATTGAATGTAAAGATTTTTTACACTAAGGCATGCCCTGTAAATAGTATTTAAACTTTATCAATAACTTTTAAATTAAGACCCATATTTTAATGTACATAGAAGTTATTTTACAGTAATTTAACTGTTTATAATGTTTTTTACTAACATTTTCATTTTTACTAACATTTTTATTTAAGGTTTAACCAACCTTTACATAGTAAGGTTGGTGTACTCCAACTATTGGAGGAAGATATAGAGGAAAGAAGAAGAAGTAGGGTGCGAACGTGTATTGGGAGCGTACGGACCCGATACCGTCCGGGACATATTCCGGGTTTTACATTGTTCAAAATGTCAGCGCCCACTTCTTTCTCACATGAAGTTGTTTACCTTTTCATTTTCTCGTTTTACATGTTATCACAGATTTGAGTCACATTTAAGCATGAGCAGTTTTGTCTCCAGTATCAATCATATTAGCGGGAAGTCATCCTGGGTCATGCAAGATGAAAATTATGACTATCATCAAGAAATAGCAAGGTATACATATAATCTGGGACTATTATACTAACATGATTAACGTTAGTATAATAGTCCCAGATATAATAAAGTTTTTTATGAGTCATTTTTAAAAAATGTTGAATTTTGAAATTGCAAAATTGAATTAAAGTTTACTAATTCAAACAACCCTCTGCATAAGCAAATCAAAACAAACAGTATACTCATGGAATAACATAGTCATATATGCAATCTTGATAATTTCAATTCATACATGTTGTACAAGAATATATTGAAACATTTTTTGATTGGTGGTGCAATATTTTGTCTCTCCTGTTTACCATGTTTAATAGAAATATCGGGTTATTTAGAAAAGGTTTTGATAAAATTTTAAGCTTGTTTTTCATAGCCAATAATTAAGATGGTAAAAGATTAAAAACTTCTACATATTTTCATTCTGTGTAATGATAGATTATTTGTCAATTTTCCATGTTGTACTGAAAAATACCTCTAAAAATTGGTTTTCAAAGGTTATTAAAATAACCACCAGCTGTCACGGAATAGAAGTTCCTTCATAATATAAGTTCCAAATGGAAACAATATTCTGGAATATTATTTCCACTGGAATAAATATTACAGTAAATGTTCCTAACGGAATAAATGGTATAGAATATTTGTTCCAACAGGAACAGATATTATGACATTGTTTATAACAAATTTTCCAGTGGAACTTCTGTTAGGCGGAACAAATATACGTTGACAGTCTAAGACAGCAATTCATAATGTTCAGCACTTTTTTCTCTTTCTAGTAAACCAAAAATCAAGTAATTCCCTGGAATGTTGGTTTACTTTTGCCTTTGTTTTTTTTGTAACAAGGACGTACATTAACAATATATCACCATATTAAGTTCTATCCTGTTACCTTTTTTGTCTATCCTGTTACCGATAGCAGTATGCTAAATTGCAAAGATTAAGACGTTGTAACCTTGAAATGAGTTCAAACAACCAAACATTTCATTATGTGTAAAACTGTATGTAATTAGTCAAATATTTTCTATCCTGTTACTGTAACCCGATAGACATAACAAGATAGACAAATTTCTTCATTTATGAATGCTGTCAATAAACATGGCCACTGTTGCTAAGAATAGAACATGTTGGGAATTGCAGTTTTTATATGACTGCAAAAATGGCAGTAAAATGGTATGGCATTGTCGTCGTCAACCTCTTCAGAAGACATTTAGTTTCCAGACAATAACTTGATTTTTATATATAAGTAAGTGGATCTCTATGAAATTGTACCACAATTCAATGTTCCATACTACAAAAGGATGGTTGGGATTGATTTTTGGGGTTATTGTCCTATAAACTGTTCAGGAATAAGGGGCCAACTATGGGCCAAAATCAAGCATTTTTCTTGTTTCAGGACAATAACTTGTGTATAAGTGAATGGATCTCTATGAAATTGTACCACAAGGTTCCATACCAAAAGTGGAAGCCAGGAAGGTTGGGATTGATTTTTTGGGGTTTTGGCCCAAACCATTTAGGAATTTGGGGCCGAAAAAACACAGATTTTTTGGTTTCCGCACAATAACTTAAATTTAAGTCTATGAGTCTCTATGAAATTGTACCACAAGGTTCCATACCAAAAAAGGAAGGTCAGGATTGATTGTAGCGGTTTTACCTCTAGCCCTAACTGTTTAGGAATTATTGGCCAAAAACAATTTCATTAAAAATTTAATTCTAGGGGTTCTTTGATATGCTGAATCTAATCATGTATAGATTTTGGATATTGGACGGTAATTGGTAAATGTCCAATTTCAAATGTTTAAGTTCTTAGACAACATTCATTCTGTGTCAGAAACCTATGATGTGTCAAATATTTCATCACAATCCAAACTCAGAGCTGTATCAGGCTTGAATGTTGTGTCCATAATTGCCCCAACTGTTCAGGGTTCTACCTCTGCAGATGTAACAAGCTGTGTCCTGCGGAGCATTTTATTGGCTTATATCTCAAAAACTAATATTAAAACAAGAAGATGTGGTATGATTGCCAATGAGACAACTCTCTACAAGAGACCAAATGACACAGAAATTAACTATAGGTCACTGTACCGCCTTCAACAATGTGCAAAGCCCATATCGCATAGTCAGTTATAAAAGGCCCCAAAATGACAAATGTAAAACAATTCAAACGAGAAAACTAACGGCCTAATTTATGAACAAAATAATGAACTAAATAGAAATATGTTACACAGCAACAAACGACAACCTGTATTTACAGGCTCCTGACTTGGGACAGGCACATACAGAATGTGGCAGTGTTAAACTCGTTTGAAGGCGCCAACCCCCCTAACCTGGGACAGTGGTGTAACAAAGCCGTTAGAGAAGAACTGGCATGGTGAAAATGATAAGCAGGTCAAAGCCTATGTTGTAAAAAATTTCAGAACAATTTGACAACCCATTCTGGAGCTATTGCCCTTAAAATGTAATTTTTTAGAAAATGTCAATGTTTTTGGCTAATATCTCAAAAACATAAAATAGTAGGCACAAAATTGACATTGGTGATAGTGATAACCAGGCAAAGTAAGATCTATATCCTCTGTAAAGTAAGATCTATATCCTCTGTAAAGTAAGGTCTATATCCTCTGTAAAGTAAGGTCTATATCCTCTGTAAAGTAAGGTCTATATCCTCTGTAGAGTAAGGTCTATATCCTCTGTAATGTAAGGTCAATATCCTCTGTAAAGTAAGGTCTATACCCTCTGCAAAGTAAGGTCTATATCCTCTGCAAAGTAATGTCTATATCCTCTGTAAAGTCAGGTCTATAGCCTCTGTAAAGTCGGGTCTATATCCTCTGTAAATTAAGATCTATATCCTCTGTAAAGTAAGGTCTATATCCTCTGTAAAGTAAGGTCTATATCTTCTGTAAAGTAAGGTCTATATCCTCTGTAATGTAAGGTCTATATCCTCTGTAAAGTAAGGTTTATATCCTTTGTAAAGTAAGGTCTATATCCTCTGTAAAGTATATCCTCTGTAAAGTAAGGTCTATATCCTCTGTAAAGTAAGGTCTATATCCTCTGTAAAAGTAAGGTCTATATCCTCTGTAAAGTAAGGTCTATATCCTCTGTAAAGTAAGGTCTATATCTATCCTCTGTAAAGTAAGGTCTATATCCTCTGTAAAGTAAGGTCTATATCCTCTGTAAAGTATGACCTATATCCTCTGTAAAGTAAGGTCTATATCCTCTGTAAAGTAATGTCTTTATCATATGTAAAGTAAAGTCTATATCCACTGTAAAAGAGAGGCAAAAGATACCAAAGGGATATTCAAACTTGAAAACAAACTGAGAAGCCATGACAAAGAACGATGAAGACAACAGCAGTACACAAAACACAACATAGAAAACTAAAGACTGAGCAACAGGAACTCCACCAAAAACTGGGGGTAATCTCAGGTGCTCCGGTAATTTTCAGAAAAATATGACTATTATCTGGGGACACGGCAAACTTTGTAATTAGTCTTAGATTATCATATTCTGGTTTTAACATTTCTTTCACTTTTCTTTATGTTCTTTTACTTTTACAGGTCAGCATATGCAGATATGCTACATGATACAGAACGGGTAAGTGTCACCTCATTTTTGTTATCTACTCAACATCTACAAGTGCATGTGATATCTACTCTACATTTACCTGTACATGGGCTATTTACTCAAGATTTACCTGTACATGGGATATCTACTAGACATTTACCTGTACATGGGATATCTAACATCCACAAAACCTGTACAGATTTAACAGTTTTTCTCTTAAGGTCTAAGTATAAATTATTTCACAGAAGTGAAATTGTCACACAGAAACATAATGGATTGAGTTACATGAAGACAGATAGAATTATAGTATTTTCATGTGAAAATATTTTTACACTTTCCAAATTTAAGTGACAAAATTGATTTGAAATACTTTCATCATTTTGATGTTTTGAAAATGACGAAATGACTAGCGCTAGCAAAATCACTGCAGTATATGTGTTTTTGTTGATGGAAGTTGTAGTAGGTTTTATAAATATTGTCTTAGAATACACAATGCATTTCAAAAAAAAATTCTCTATACTTCATGTATTATTTTCAAAAATGGTTATTAAAACTCTTTTTGTCAATGAAATGTATTAAAACTTTTTGTGCCCTGTCTACAGTATAAAGGGGACATTTTGTTTTCTGGTCTGTTCATCTGTCCCTGCCTTTTCCTATCCGCCGCTCATCAGGTTAAAGTTTTTGGTTAAGGCAGTTTACAATGAAGTTGTGGTCACATCAATTTGAAACATAGTTCGCATGTTCATTTTAATGTGAGCTTTTTAAATTATATACCAAATTATGGTTTTGACCCTGATATCATAATTCACTGAATATAGAAATGTGATAGTGTGAAATTAGAACATTCTCCTTTTATTGCGAAAGTGATGAAACTTTCCCACAGAATCACTTTCTCTTGGTAAAGGTATTTAAACTTTAGTCAGTTCACTTGTCTCATTGAATAAATACAATAGCTATTGTTTTCTGTGTAGTTTATTCACTGGGACCTTTAAACTTCTAAGAGAAATCCATCACTCATTGATTAATTTACACGAAAAAAAAAATTTTCTAAGTAGATGAAAATACATGTATCAACTCACAAAACTGCATGTGAAGTTTTATTTATTCAATATCAATAATATATTTTCAATCTGTTCAATATAAACACAGATTTAATCATAAAAAGTTGATTACTGACAAAAATTTTAGCATTGTTCCTATTGAAATTTTTTTTGGGTGCAAGTAAATATGTTCATTGTTTTTTTTATGCCCCGGCCGTAGCGGTGGGGGCATTAAGTTTTACCCTTGTCCGTCTGTACATACGAACGTACGTCCGTACGTATGTCCCAAAATTGGTTTCCGTTCTCTAACTGAGTTTGCCTCAACCAAAAGTTATGAAACTTATACACAATGCTTATTACCAAAAGAAAACACAGATCAAGTTTGAATTTTGGTGGCGTCACTTTAACCGTTCTAGAGTTATGCCCTTTATAAATGGAAAAATTGCAAAATTTATAGTTTCCGTTCTCTAACTTAAGTTTGCCTCAACCAAATGTTATGAAACTAATACACAATGCTTATTACCACAAAACACAGATCAAGTTTGAATTTTGGTGGCATCACTTCAACTGTTCTAGAGTTATGCTCCTTTATAAATGGAAAAAATGCAAAATTTTTAGTTTCCGTTCTCTAACTTAAGTTTGCCTCAATCAAATGTTATGAAACTTATACACAATGCTTATTACCACAAAACTCAAATCAAGTTTGAATTTTGGTGGCGTCACTTTAACAGTTCTAGAGTTATGCCCTTTATTAATGGAAAAATTGCAAAATTTTTATTTTCTTCTAAATATCAATTAATTTTTAAAATTGGAGTTATCTTCCTTTGTCCATGATTATAGTTGAATCAACTACAATCAATGCTTTATACAATGCAATGTTTAATTTTGACTTCCACTGATCAAACACAGATCAAGTTGAATTTGGGTAGTGTCACTTTAACCATTATTGAGTTATGCCCCTTTATAAATCGAAAGATTGCAAATTTTTAGTTTCCATTCTGTAACTTAAGTTTGCCCCAACGAAACATTATGAAACCTATACACAATATTCATTACCACAAAACTAAGATCAAGTACAAATTTTTTGTTTCCGTTTTCTAACTTTAGTTTGCCTCAACCAAATGTTATGAAACTTATACACAATGCTTATTACTACATAATACAGATTAAGTACCAAATTTGGTAGCGACACTTTTACCATTCTTGAGTTATGTCCCTATATAAACATAAAAATTACTTAAGTTTGTCTCAACCAAATGTTATAAAACTTATACACAACCGTTCCAGAGTTATGCGTGTTTACAAATAGAAAAATTGCTGAATTTTTAGTTTCTGTTCTCTACTTAAGTTAGCCCTACCAAATGTTATGAGACTTACACACAATGCTTATTACAACACAACTCAGATCAAGTTCAAATTTGAGTAGCGTCAGTTTTACCTAATTCAGTTATGTCCCTTTATAACTATATGATATGCAAGCAGGGGCATCATCTGTATCCACATGTGGACACTATCCACATTAATTTACATTTTTATATGCCCGTTTACAGGACCTATTATGGTATACCGTTGTCCGTCCTTTCGTCAGTCTGTCCGTCCGTCCGTCTGTCGTCAACATGTCGGGCAATAACTCTATTTTATCTATTGACATGAGGTCCCTTTCAATGTTTTATAAATTTTAGATTTTATGTTTCCGAGTTATGGGGTTTTATTTTTTGAAAAAGGGGGATTTTCCAGTTTTCGGACAATATCTTTAAAGTGCTTTGAGCAGTTTTCATGAAACTTTGGTGACTGGTTTATATTCATCAAGATAACCTCCCTTTAGTTTTTCATATATTTCTGATATGACATTGAGAAGTTATTGAACTTTATTCTTTGAAAAAGTGACGGGTGTATCATGCGTTCATGGTGCAGCTGTTTATTAATTATATGCCAAATTACAATTTTGACCCCAATTTCATGGTTCACTGAATATTAATATATATATAAGTGCAAGCAGGGCATATTGTATGGACACTAAAAATATATTTTGCAATTTTATCCCTTTTCACTTTTATCTTCATTTTTTTTTTTCATTTAATCTGAGATGATAGTTTATTATTCTGTATTACCACGATTACTTCATCCATTTAGACAAGTGTAATGATATGATTTTATATTAAACAAGTATTACATGTTACATGTTGTATTGTGAAATGAACACTTGGAATATTATTCCAGATAGATAAATAGGTCTGATGCAGATGTATTTGTTCCTTAAGGAAAAATAATAAGTACCTGACTCATCTTGGCTATTATCAAATTATTTAAAGACAAAGATACAATTCTGAAAAATACATGTAGTTGAACTTAAGTGAAACACAATAAAAATCAATAAAAATTTACTAGTTTGAAAACAAGGTAACATATTTTGACATGTCTTATTTTCAGAACAAAAAATATTTCTTAGCTCTGGGGAAGGCTATTCAGTTGAAACGTGATAAAGGGGAAAAAGTACATGTCCTTGACATTGGAACTGGTACTGGACTTTTGTCAATGATGGCAGCTTCCTTAGGAGCAGATACAGTTACAGCATGTGAGGTAATGATTAGTAGTTTTCAAAAAGTGTAGAGGAGGGGACTGGATCATAACCCTTGGCTAGTGAAGATTGGTCATTTGCTGTTGAAAGGACACAACATTATCTGAACGAAAGAGCATTTTAAAATATGCAGAATGAATGACTAAATATAATGTGTATAAAAGAACGTTACAGATATGCAAAATAATTATCTACAAGTATCAAAGACCTTAAACTGCTAAAAATAGCATGAAATTCAAAAATACTTATACATCAAATGATTTGTTAACAATTATGGATTGAAAAAAAACTGTTAATTACATCATTTAACATTTGTATTTGAACCTTTTTATATAGTTAGCGAAAAATGGAACTGATATGTGATGGCTTTGAGTTTAACTTAAATCCCAACACTCATTGAATAAGATGTAGAAATGTTTCCTTATCAAATATTTGTAAAAATTCAATTAAATTGTGTCTTATTGATGATTAGATATATTGATATCAGCTAATGATATATATATTATTCACATATTCATTGATATTAATCTTCTGTCATTTTCAGGCATTTAAACCTATGGCTGATTGTGCTAGGAAAATAATACAACAAAATGGTTATGGAAACAAAATCAAATTGATACCAAAACGTTCCACTCATGTTTCAGTTGGCCCAGGTAGAAACTTTACTCTTATGTCATGAAAAAGATTCTCATTCACAGATTGGTAATCCTCCCCTGCTGGGTACTACCAATATTTCTGTCAGAATTTCTAAAACGAAAAATGTCAGAATTGCTTGTTAAGAGTCCACATTGAAGATGCAGATCCCTATAGTTTTCTCTAAGTTTGTCTGTCAACAATTTTTGTAAACACCCCAAAAATATAGGTAGGAGGCCAATGAAATATTACACAGATGTTGTGCAGTAGGAGGCCGATGAAATATTGCACAGATGTTGTGCATTTTTTGTTGATGTGCATATTATTTTTTTATGGAAAATTGGCGATTTGATTTTGGAAAAAAACCTAATTTTTTGTTTAAAAATTACAAATTTTGAGAAATACTGTTTGTGAACACAAAAACTCTAATTGTATAAGTAGGAACACAGGTCTGGCAATGGTCAAATTTGCCAGAAATGAAAAAAATTGAAACTTTTTTGAAAGATGTATCAGATTGGGATTTACAATGATTTAGGTACGAAATTTTTTTTTCCAAAATAATTTCGGACATTCCATTGAAATTGTGGTATTTTAATCACCATTTTGCACTAATTTTTGGGTAAAGATTGCATAAAATGCAATTAAAATCCTATGGTACTGACTTGACATCTAAATGTTCAAAGATTTATCACTACCTTTGATAGTTCAAACAGAATTTGTGCAGTGAAGTGATCATTCTTTTGATCCTATCCAGCCAATGTCTTGCAATTTATCAATGATATGTTATACTTAGATATTTAAGTTACAAGATGATGAGTATTTGAATTACCATACTTGTCAAGAAAACTTTTCTTTATTGAAAATGACATAAGTAATTCGTGGTGTATGAATCTGTTTTAAAACTAGACTCAACTACAAATGTGTTATCATGAACAAGGGAAGATAACTCCAACTCAAATTTACAATTTGCCTATGGTGGCAGAAACCAGTTATTTTACAATAAATCTTAAGAATTTCATGGATTTATGAATTAATTTTCCTGAAAAATCATTCAAGCTTATATGCAAATTTAAATAAAATTTATGGTTTCGAGTAACTCAGATGTGTGTGTGCTTGTGTGAATATATAGAAAACCTGTAAATTTGGGTGTCTGTCCAGCATGCAGATTTTTAAATTTATAAATGCATTGCAAATAAGGCAAAACATGTGATGTTCTAATACAAATATTATCCCCACCTTCAAAATCCTGCTAATGTCAGACAAGAATTTTAGGCAAATTTCAAGAGATAAATGATATTCAATGAATTTAAGCCTTGTCCACACCTATCCCAACTATCAAAATCTCAAGATATTTTTGTTTACATAAAACTGATTTTTTTCTGGTACACATAAACTGGTACCTGCCACCTATCTAATTACAATTCAATGTTTTATTTTGAATTCACAAAATTGCAAAATGAAAGCAGTCTTTACCCTTCTGTGCTCACAAGCACTTTGATTGTTTTGCAATGTTTTTCCATGATAAAACTGCCACTCAGGTATAGTTATTAAGTATGATAATCTGGAGGGCTCTCTTAATTACCCTATAGTATTAATGCCTCCCGGAGATATTGGCCAATGATAGCTTATCACTTTTTACCTATGTTCTCATGCATAAATGACAGTAGTGATCAAGCTCAGAACTTATGTTATAAAGAAATTCTGTTCCATTACAAGTTACCTTATTATCTCTGAACTTTTCAGCAAAGACAATTCGCAATTCTGATTCAAAAATTAAAACTAACTATTTAATACGCATGCATGCAAGTGTCTTTACCAGATTCTACACTTAATCTTAAGATCTGAGACTACTATAACTTATAGTAGTCTCAGCTAAGATGCAAAATGATTTCAGGTCAAATTAAATGAGAGAAGCTTTTATCAATTATAGTCAAACACTTTTACAGGTCATAAATTGAAAAATATGATTTCCTGCCATTTGATAAACGGAACGAACTCTGTATATCAATCAGAAATCACTTGTAGTTTATGATTAACTTGAAAACTTCCAGTTTTTATTTCTTTTCTCAAAATTGAAAGTAAGGTGGCCCTTTCATGAGAAATATACAGTTTTAAGTCATTAATGTCATTTCAATTTTAAACCGTTGCATTCCATAAATACTTCTGGAATGTTTTTAGGAAAATAGTAAGAAATATCATGATGTAAATGTGTTGAAAATGTCAATATACCGGTAACTTTGTTGATGCTGTTGATCTAGTATGAATTTGACAGTTTGAGAAAAAGAACCCTAACTTTCAAGTCATCTCAAAATGACAGACATTGTGTGAAAAAAATTACTGATAACCCCTTTGGGTAGGAGGCTGGTGAAATTTTATACAGTTAGATGTGCATATTATTTTTTTTCTGAAAATTGGGCCATTAATTTTGGAAAAACTTCTGCTTTTTGTAAAAAAAAAATCACAAATTTTGAGAAATTTTTGGGCAAAGTTGTCAATGAAAACTGATTTGTTGGCATAACATTCTACTCCAAATTAATTTTTGTGATTACAAGGAAAATTGATGTATAGGTATAATATGCTATTCCAAATTGATTCCCAGTGTCAAAGGACAAGGTTCGCTTATACCAAAAGTTGGCCTTGAGTTTGAATTTATAAACAAATATTAAAAGGGCCACACTTTGGTTCTTAACCCATTCAAGGCATATGGAAAATGAATAATGCACTGTTTACTTTCAGTTTTAATAATTCTAGTGTCAAATTTGATGTTAAAACCTGGTATTTGTTAAAATCATTTTGTGCTAGGATTTCAATGAAAATTTATATGTAGGTATAAGATGCTATTTCAAATTGATTCCCTATGTCAAAAATTATCCTTTAACCACCATTTTTGTCTTGTCATTGACTTAATCTCATAATGGGAACCATAGGAATTACTATCTGGTGGCAGCCAAAACTATTTGTAAAAATCTTTATATTTCAGAGGGAATATGACATGGATGCTTCATACCTTGCATGAAGATGCCTTATGCTAAGAAGTTTCCGTCTACCATATGTCCATTGGCCTTGACCTCATTTTTCATGATTGATCAACTCATTTAAAAAAAGTTTTTTTGTCATGTGAAATACTCACTTATCATGAGATATAGGATAACTATATTTGGTATATTGGATCCTTGCAAGGTACACACGTCTGCCAGACAGTGGTCACCTGACCTCGACCTCAGTTAAAAGATTATTGAGCAATGTTAAGATTTTTAGGTTTGGTCTATTTTTCAGATACTATAAGCAATAGGGCCACTATATTTGGTATATGAAACGATTGTAAGGTGTACATGTCTGACTGGCAGGTTTCATCTGACCTTGACTTGATATTCATGGTTCATTGGACAATGTTACGTTTTTGAGGTTTGGTCTATTTTTCAGATACTATAAGCAATAGGGCCACTATATTTGATTTATGAAATGATTGTAAGTTTACATGTCTGTCTACCAGGTTTTATATGACCTTGACCTCATTTGTAATCTCACAGCAATGGATTTGTGTAGGTATCATGGTTGGGAATCATTGAGTAAACAGGAATTTCTACATGATAGAAATCAGGATGGATTGACAAATCCTTTTTGAACATTTCAATATCTTGTCTAATTTGTTTTCTTGACCTAAGTTACTTATAACCAATATTTATGCAAGCACGAGTATCCCCTGGCAAGTTCTAGGAGCTGACACAAAACTGTTAAAGTTTATTGTACATTATGTAAGCGAAAATAAAAACCTCTGAGAACATATGATGCACATTTGAGACTATATGAAGTCACCATTATATCAATATACAACAATTTTTTAGATGGAGACATGTCACATCGTGCTAACATCTTGGTTACAGAAGTGTTTGACACAGAACTAATTGGAGAAGGAGCAATAGGAACATATACTCATGCACACAAAGAATTACTAGAGGTAATGGCTGGTTATTTTGGTTTTAATACTGATATGTAGTTTGTTAAAAAATAAATTGATTATTCACTTACAGTTTTTATACACTTGTCGAAGACCAAACGTATTATAGTATACCATAGTCCGTGCAATAAATGAAATTTGCTTTAACCAATTCTCATGTTATTTTAACACAACTGTTGTAGTTATGTACACTGATTGTTACTTTTGTATTTTGAGAGTTTGTATTTATATAAGATATTCTGTAGTTATTCATAGTTTTAAGTATATTTTAATGGGCAAATATCATCTCTCAGCTTTTGACGTATGTTTTTCGTCCTCCTTAAAATGTTTATTTCTAATAAATTGCATATGAAATCTGAGCAATGTTTGGTCCATACAAAAATACAAGAATGCTACCTTTTGTATAAAATTGAGAATGGAAATGGGGAATGTGTCAAAGAGACAACAACCCGACCATAGAGCAGACAACAGACGAAGGCCACCAATGGGTCTTCAATGCAGAGAGAAACTCCCGCTCCCGGAGGCGTCCTTCAGCTGGCCCCTTAACAAATATGTGTACTAGTTCAGTGATAATGGACGTCATACTAAACTCCAAATTATACACAAGAAACTAAAATTAAAAATGATACAAGACTAACAAAGGCCAGAGGCTCCTGACTTTGGACAGGCGCAAAAATGCGGCGGGTTAAACATGTTTTTTGAGATCTCAACCCTCCCCCTCAAATTTACTCTAGCTAATGTAGAAAAAACAAACGTACAACAGTACGCATAGTAAAACTTAGTTTAAGAGAAGTCAGAGTCCGATGTCAGAATAGGAAACAAAAGAAAATAAACAAAATGACAATAATACATAAATAACAACAGACTACTAACAGTTACTGACATTCTAGCTCCAGACCTCAATTAAACTGACTGAAAGATTATGTCTTCATCATATGAATATCATATAAACTACATATTTGTTCTGGGAAATACATAGGAAATTAGGAACATTGTAAATGTATGTAAACAAATGTCAATCCTAATGTCGTCATAATTTCTGCTTCTTGCTATGTCATGTCAAGTCATATAGCAAAGAAATATGAATAAAACTAATAAAGCTTGTTACTACCAAGAGAAAATAGCAAAGGTCGTCAATTTTGATGTCTGCTTTCCTCAACATTGGTATTATTCATAGTAGAATATAATTATGTTTATTAAACGTTAAGTATAATCTTGGGAACATTTGACAGAAGAAAACTAGCTCTCTTACAAATTTGAAAATATTTGGCTTTATCATTCCAGAGTTTTTGGACCTTATCCTTTTAATTTCAGGCTAATTTCACATATCCCACACAAACTCCAGTATGCCTGGATTATTTGTCAAAGCTTTACATTATTGTTGGGATTGATAAAAGGAAGTTCCCTTTCGATTTTGTAAGCCCCTCTTTTAGTCGATGGGGGCATTAAGGTTTACCCTTGTCGGTTCATATGTACTGCTGTCTGTCTGTACGTTCCTAAAATAAGTTTCCGTTCTTTAACTTTAGTTCACCTCAAAATGTTATGAAAATTTATATACAATGCTTATTACCACCAAACACAGATCAACATGGCATTTGGGTGGTACCAAACACAGATCAACATGGCATTTGGGTGGTACCAAACACAGATCAACATGGCATTTGGGTGGTACCAAACACAGATCAACATGGCATTTGGGTGGTGTCACTTACATTGTTCTTGAATTATGTCCCTTTATAAATGGAAATAATGCTGAATTTGCTGTTTTTGCGAGCAGGGCATATTGTTCTGTGGACACATATTCTTGTTAAAGTATGGTAGGATATAAGGTTGATACAAAAACTACATGAAAAATTAAACTAAATCTAAAATATTTCAAAAATTACTGTATGATATTAAGAGTTCTTCAAAAAACACTTCAAGCAAAAGATTGAAATTGACAAAAACATGTCACCTAAGAGGACTAATTCTGTAGTTAGTGAATAGATAAGATTCTGTTGTATTGCCAAATTACTTATTTTGCAAAATTATTTCAGGAAAATTGTATAGTAGTTCCATCATCATCCAACATGTATGTACAAGTTGTCTCATCTGAGTTCATCAGTCGATGGAAAGATATACAGCCAATCAAATTGCAAGGATGTGATGATGTCAGACCACCTTCAGATACGACGAGTTGTAGTGGAGCTATTGCATTACATGACTTACAACTTCAGCAGCTTCCAAGAGATCAATTTACTTGTCTTTCTGAGCCTTTGAAAGTATTTAGGTAAACGAAATGTTACATGTTCTTATTTTCATTCATTTTTATACAACCGTAAAAAATTTTGGGGTCGTATATTGGTATCACGTCATCATCGTCAGCTTAGTCCGAAGACATTTGGTTTCAAGACAATAACTTTAGTAAATGTAAATAGAAATCTATGAAATTTAAACACAAGGTTATAACCACAAAAGGAAGGTTGGGATTGATTTTGGGGGTTATAGTCCTAACAGTTTAGGAATTAGGGGCCAAAAATAAGCATTTTTCTAGTTTCCAGACAATAACTTGTTGAACGGTGTATGGATCTCTCTGAAATTATACCACAAGTTTCCATACCACAAAGGGATGGTTAGGATTGGCTTTGGGGGGTTTTGGCTCAAACCGTTTTGGAATTAGGGGCAAAAAAGTAAGAAAAAACAAGGGTGTCCTGGATAATGGACAATTAAGTACAAATTACAGTGTAAGGGAGGTAATTCAATGTTGTGTTTGAATTACCTCCCTTACACTGCTTTTAAATTATGTATAAAGAAATGTTATATTGTCTTGATGTGATTAGCTGTCAATTTATTTTTTGGAAGTTACTATTTTAATAATTTAAAAATGTTGATTAAGGTAAATTAATTTTTGCCATGATTATGTATGTCATTTAATTTTCTATTTTAAGACTTTTATGATGTATTTAAATGGGTAATTATGGTTACAAACTCCATTGGAAATTTGAATTGAGATTATGACCATATGTCAATTCGCAACAGCATAGTGTATTGCACAAAAGCAAAAAAATTGAATATGAATTCAAATCATAACCAATTCTAAGTTCTTTGACCACAGTTATTCTGTGTCAGAAATATGTGTCAAATATTTAATTACAATCCAAATTCAGACCTGTATCAAGTGTGAATATTGTGTCCATTTTTGCCCCAACTGTTCAGGGTTGGACCTCTGGGGATTGCATTTATGATCTTCACAATATAAAGATAAGAAGATGTGGTATGATTGCCAATGAGACAACTCTCCACCAAATTATGAAATGAGACCAAATGTTGTATAAGTATTCAAATGACCATTACTGCACAGCAAGTAACTTGAAATACATTTAAATTAAGAGATATAGAGAGTTATTATACTTATTTGAAATAAAATTTAAAATCATTCGTATGAATGTAATGGTACATGATTTATCATGAAACATAATAATGATACAGGTAATTAAAACTACTGTAAATTCAGAAATTATTGCGAGGTTCTTATTAATGCGAATAATGTGACTTGGTGAGTATCGCAATAATAAGAACTCGCATTCTGATAACTTAAATATAGACCTGTATGCACTTTTTTTTTGAAATCGCAATAATAAAACTCGCATTTTTGTCCATTCTTGAAAAATTGCAATAATAAATGCACACAATAATTTCTGAATTTACAGTATTTGAATGTGAATTGATTTATTCGAGCTGCTTATGTATGCAGTTGTGATCTCAATTACCAATTAAACCATGAGTTGTCAAATTTTCATCAAACTAAATGTTTTTATCCAGTTTAAAAGGTTTTTCCCCCAGTATTATAAACATAGTGATAAAAAAAGTGTGAATGAATTACAAATTGTCTTATATTATATTTGTAGATTTGACTTCAGTGGCAAAAAACCTCTAGTTAGTAACAGACAGTCAGAAGTCTTTTTTGAAGCTTTATCTAATGGTCATGTGGATGGTATTTTGATGTGGTGGGATTTACAGATGGACACAAATGGGGAAATTGATCTCAGCTGTGCACCTGACTGGGTACACCCTAATCTGAAGGAATTACAGGTAAAGTGGGAAGCTGGAATTAACCTAAGCTGTGCACCTGACTGGGTACATCCTTATCCTAAGGAATTACAGGTAAAGTGGGAAGCTGAATTAACCTAAGCTGTGCACCTGACTGGGTACATCCTTATCCTAAGGAATTACAGGTAAAGTGGGAAGCTGAATTAACCTAAGCTGTGAACCTGACTGGGTACATCCTTATCCTAAGGAATTACAGGTAAAGTGGGAAGCTGGAATTAACCTAAGCTGTGCACCTGACTGGGTACATCCTTATCCTAAGGAATTACAGGTAAAGTGGGAAGCTGGAATTAACCTTAGCTGTGCACTGGACTGGGTACATTCTAATCATAAGGAATAACAGGTAAAGTGGGAAGCCAGAATTAACCTGTGATGTGCACCTGACGATACATCCTTATCCTAAGGAATTACAGGTAAAGCGGGAAGCAGGAATTAACCTGTGCTGTGCACCCGACTAGGTTTATTCTAATCCTAAGGAATTTTAGGTAAAGTGGGAAGCTGGAATTAACCTAAACTGTGCACCGGACTGGGTTCATTCTAATCCTAAGGAATTACGGGTATAGTGGGAAACTGGAATTAACCTTAGCTGTGCATCCGACTGGGTTCATTCTAATCCTAAGGAATTACAGATATATTATTAGACTAAGCTGTGCATCTGACTGGGTACATTCTTATCCTAAATGAAATGATCAGCAGGAATTAATTAAGCAGTGCAGCTGACTGGGTACATCCATATACTAAGGAATTACAGGTAAAGTGGGAAGCTGGAACTAACCCAAACTGTGCACCTGACTAGAATCCCTTTATAAAATCCCTTTATGAAAAAACATTAAAAAAAAAGATACTATTAGAAGATTTTTTTATAACCACAAACTTGTATCAACAGAATTAGGTAAAATGATAGTATCGGATGTCTACACTGATATATAAATTCTTTAATTTAGAAAAAAATGAATAAAAAGCAATATTTGACATGTATTTACAGATGGATTGATGGAAATTGTGTTTGAGCGTGTAAATTAAAATAACTGAATAAAAGGAAATGTTGGTTACACATCAATGAGACAATAACCCAACTCCATAAATAAATTAAATGACATTGTTCTACTATTAAAGATGTTAAAATTTTATTGAACTCTTTTGAATCTTCAGTATATAAAGCCAACCATGCATGCTTGGGAGGGAAAAGGTTATTAACAAGGCAAATATAGAACAATATTGTGATAACAGAACAGAAAATAATGTCTGTATTTTTGCAGTGGAGAGATCACTGGATGCAGGCAGTGTATTATCCCAGCAATATTTTGCCAGTACTGAAAGATGATAAAGTGAAGGTCATCAGTAACCATAGTGAATACAATTTGTGGTTTGATGTAGCAAAAGAAAACTCGTAAGATTTATCGCTTTTTACTTGAAAGGGCATCTATATTTAGGTTCTTATTTTATATGCAAACACTTTTTACATTTAACATTCGTCCGGTATACTCAGGGTATATTCATGGTCATTCAATGCGTGTTTCATATGAATTAAATATATGAATGAAAAAAGCATATTCATTGTAATATTATATGCTTTATAGCATTAAATGGGTATGTAACTTGATTTAATATGATATTAGCAATGCATGGGCTCTTTTCACAAAAAAATCTTACAATGAAGGTCTTTTGGCTTGGATACCTTTGTTCCTTTGACCTATTCATTTGAAGTATGAGAAGAAAGTATTGATCTCAATATTTTTGTAGAAACCTTTGAACTATTCTTCAAAAAGAGGATAAGTAGGAAAAACCTGAATACTTTTATCTACGAAAAATCAATAATAGAATACTGTGGATTAATTTTTATTCGTGGGATACAAATTTTCATGGATTTTATGGGTACAGGTGAACCCCAAATTTAAATATTCAACGAATTACGAATTTCCTATAGGCCTGTATGCAGATTTGGCAAAACCATGAAATCAAATGTCTTTCTTAAACTATCCTGGGTTGCTTCCAAACTTGGACAGAAGCTTGTTTGTGATCATAAGATAGTATCCAGAAGTAAATTTTGTAAAAAAAAAATCCATTTTTTCCTTATTTTACTTTTAAATGGACTTAGATTTTCTGCCAGGAAACAACACATTCACTCTGTGGTTAAAGTTTTTCAAATTTTAATAACTTTCTTTTACTATTTTGGATTTGTACCAAACTTGGACAGAAGCTTGTTTATGATCAAAAGCAAGTATCTAGAAGGAAATTTTGTAAAAAAATAAATCCATTTTTTCCGTGTTTTACTTTTAATGGACTTAGATTTTCTGCCAGGAAACAACACATTCACTCTGTGGTTAAAGTTTTTAAAATTTTAATAACTTTCTTATACTATTTTGGATTTGTACCAAACTTGGACAGAAGCTTGTTTATGATCAAATGCTAGTATCTAGAAGGACATTTTGTTTTCTTCCAGTTAACATTACATTCAGTCTGCAGTTAAAGTTTTTAAACATTTATTAGATTCATAAACTATCCTGGATTTTTACCAAACTTGGACAGAAGCTTCTTACAATCAAAAGATAGTATCAAGAGGAATATTTTTATTGATTTACTTCCTCATTTTTGTTGAGCCTGCGATTAACAGAAAAAGTAGGCGAGACACTGGGTTCCGTGGAACCCTTACGAATTTTTGTTGATATCATATTTGATTATTTTTTTTAACTTTTCAGTAATGGAAACACTAAGATTAGTAATGGACCAGATTGCTTTTGTGGTATACATACAGCCATTAGTAGGACTAGATTTGGAATGATAAATGACCCAGATAGAAGACAAATAATTATTGATGCGTTGAGAAAGGTAAACATATCAGTCTTTTAGTCATTATAATGTACCTTCATTCTAAGCTGAAATTATGCATGTAACACATTAACCCAATTTGATTCAAACTGCTGAGCTAAAAGGTAATGAATGATATACCAAAAGAGAAAACACAAAACAACAAACTGAAATATGAAAACATATGTTTCTTAAATTGTAAGTTGGTATCATTATAAAATAAAAGAGAATCTAAATACTAAAAAAATACTCAATCTGCCTAATTAACCATTTATATTTTAAAGAAAAAAAATATCAGAGAATTATGTTTATAAATGATAAAATGTTTCAAAAAAAGACTTTCAGAAAAAAAGGCATCACCTGGCTCATTTTCCTGTCTCATAAGAAAATAAGTATTATTTTAACTGTTTAAATAGTACATATCATATTAACACTGAGGTTGTGAGTTCAGACCCCTTTCCTGGCAAGATGAGTGCCAGTTTTCCAGCTGAAGGTCATTTGTTCTCTCCTTGTACTGCAGCTTCTCCACCAATATAAATCGGGCCACCACGATGTAGCCAAGTGTGCAGAAGATGGGTTAAAACACCAACAAGTTAAAATTCAATCATTATATTAATATTAAATTGTTTGAGTTATCTCCCCTTGTAACAGAAATCTTTAATTTTTTTGATAAATCAAAATATCTTTTGTATTTGTGTAAAAGTGAATACAAATTTAATGATAAGTGTCATCATTTGAATGAGTTCCACCAGTCTTTGCATGTTTGTATCAAGATGTGTTAATTTAGTAAAAGTCTATTCTGTTTAATAGCAATTCAAGAAGACTGAATACTCTCATATTACTTAAAAGTTGGCATTAAAATAACTAGAAAAGAAGGGGAAAAATTAACACTTTTGATTATAGTAAAAGTAATCCAAGAATTCAAATATAGAAAATATACTCAACGAGTGACTAAGAATTCAAATATATAAAAAATATTCAACGAGTGACCAAACAACACATTAATTCACAAATGTGTGTTGCACATGAGTTAATAATCAGTGTTGTTGGGTCATGAGTTGAATATTTTTGAATATTTTAATTCTTGGATTAGTTATTCTTTTTGTTACATTGACTTTTGGATTGAAATAAAGTTCAAAATGTATGGAACTATATCTTTTCTATGCATTTTGAATATGTTTGATGCTTCATCATCAACAAAAAGGCTTAACAACACCTGTTGTTGTATGATGTCAGACGAGTGAAATTATCAGATTTATTTCACATGTGAAATTGTCAGATTCTATTGCCCAGTTAAATCACGTTATTTTACTGCAATAAGTGTTTTTTTTTATTCTAGAATATTAAAGATGATACAGTATGTCTATGTATAAGTGATGGAAGCCTTCTACCACTGATAGCCACTAGACTTGGTGTCAAACAGGTAATAAACAAGTGCATCATTGAAATAGAAAGAACTCTACTTATACATCATGATATATACCCCCCAAATCCCCCCCTAGCTTGATAGTTCTTTAAGTTATGATCCTGTTCACCTGTCAGGAGTTAGGAGTTAGTCTTCTTACATAAATACATAAATGCTCACAGCACTTAAAGAATTTAAGGAAATACACTAGTGAAAGTGGCAAGAACTGCCTTGTTTTACATTGTCAGATTATAAATATTCAGATTTGAGCAACAGCTTTACCAAGGATTATGTTTTGCTATATGATGTAGTTTTGTGATTCAAATATATTATTTTATTGAGGATTTGGCTCTGTTATGGGTTTATCTTCCAAAATTGGCAGATTTTTTGGTGTCAAATTCACAAATAATCATATGCCAATCATTGAAGGGACATAGTAGTGTATACAATTGTCTGTCTGTCCATTCACATTTCATTGAAAGATTAGAGAAGGCTTTGATCAAACCTCATGAAACTTGTATGTGATATTGGAATCAGTGAAAAAAACATGTTGGATTTTGAAATTTTTGTGTTTGTTCCAAAGTTATGAAACTATCTGATTTTATAAGGCAGTTTTGCACATATTGCACGGTATGCTTGAATGATTACCTTTAAAATAAAACTTTTGTTGGGATTAATTAAGCTCCCTTTATATTTAAAACAAATTCTGATTTGTAGTTCCAGAGCAAGGGTCTGGAAATTTTTCACACATTACAGTCATTTTCAATTTCAAATTATCATGACGTATACAAACTATTATCAATGGTTTTATGGTCTAAACTGCATAATCAATTTGAACCTGTTTTTGTAAAAGCATTCAAAAATAATATGTAAAATACAACAGTTTAAAACTGCAATGATTTTAATGACTTAAAACTGCAAATTCTGTAGGAATTGACTGCATAATCAATTTGTACCTGTTTTGGAAAAAGCGTACTAGAATAATATGTTAAATGCAACAATTTAAGACTGCAATGATTTAATGACTTAAAACTGCAAATTCTGTAGGAATTGACCATGCTTCTTTCATTTTGAGAAATGGAAAGTTTTCAAGCTGATTATGAATTACAACAAAAATCGGATACTAGTTGACATGTCATAACTAAGGAGTGACCCACCATTTTGAATTGCTTTGATCAACAAATGTTTTCGATTATTACAATATTATAAAAAAAAAAACATCACCTACCTCAAAAAAGCCGTTTTGATGTGATTTTATCCAAATTTGAATCATAGAAGTTACGTAATTAGCTTTAGTTTGTAAGTTCGCATTTTTATGACGTCATGTTTAGACATGAGGTTGGTGCACGAAAATCATTGACATGAAGTTTCGAGGAATTTTATTTTATTTCAAATTTATACATTTTTTTAAGCTCTAACGTATTATTTCTTTTTGTAATGCATTAGAATCAGAATAACAGTACTGTAGTGGAAGAGTTGTCAACGTAAATTTTGATTTGACGGCGGCAACTTTTCAACTACAGTACTGTTATTCCTTAATTTATCATACAGCTTTTTCTTCTGGCTATGGTCAAGCGTCTAATCATGTACTTGTCAAAAAAAGGAAGAGGACACTTGCATGCACAAGTACAAAAATGTACTAAGTAATGAATATTGGCATGTTCGTCTTAACCTGAAGTTTCTCTTTTAACAGTTAAAGATTGTATAGAAAGATTTAATTTCAAAATCTAAATTATTGATAGCCTTTGCTGAAAAAGTATTTCATGATAAGGTCAATCGTCTGTACTTGGTCAGTATTTTCTGCAGGTGTCAACACAAGTAAATATAATATCCATGGAGGTATTGATCAGTTACTTGTAGGGCCCTGTGGATTATCATACAGTTTTAAGAGGCATTTTTATTGCTGGAAAAAAAATGGCAATTAAGATTTTGTAACTTTGTAAAAAAAAAAGCAATATCTAATAAATTTGTCCAATCTTCGTAAATTTTCATTCAAAAGAATCATGACCTAAATCCCAAAATACAATTCGTTCAAGGACCTTAAATCTTCGGTCATGTCTTGAAAACATGACCGTTTTCAGACCCTTGTTCCAAAGTTATGGGACTTTAACTGTCTGATTTAAGAAAATTTGGGGTATGCTTGGATCAATTTACTGGAAACTTTACACAATTGTTTGAATTAGTGAAAGTAAAATATGTTTTGATTTTGAAATTTTTTCAATCAATTTGTTATTCCAGAGGTATTGAGCTTTAACCATCAGATTTAGGATTTTTATGCCCCCGCCGTAGTGAAGGGTGCATTAAGTTTTACCCTTGTCCGTCTGTACGTACGTACGTACGCATGTCCCAAAATTGGGTTTCCATTCTCTAACTTTAGGTTGCCTCAACCAAAAGTTATGAAACTTATACACAATGCTTATTACCACAAAACACAGATCAAGTTTGAATTTGGGTGGCGTCACTTTTACTGTTCTAGAGTTATGCCCCTTTACAAATGGAAAAATTGCTGAATTTTTCGTTTCCATTCTCTAACTTTAGTTTGCCTCAACCAAAAGTTAGGAAACTTATACACAATGCTCATTACCACAAAACACAGATCAAGTTTGAATTTTGGTGGCGTCACTTTTACCGTTCTAGAGTTATGCCCTTTACAAATGGAAAATTCCTGAAATATTTGTTTCTGTTCTCTAACTTTAGTTTGCCTCAACCAAATATTATGAAACTTATACACAATGCTTATTACCACAAAACTCAGATCAAGTACAAATTTGGATAGTGTCACTTTTACAGTTCTTGAGTTATATCCCTTTATAACGTTTTATGCAAGTGGGGGCATCATCTGTGTCCCATGGACACATTCCCCATTTATTTTTTTATGTGTCACACATTATTTTTAAATGCTTGGATCATGTTACTACAAATTTTACACTGTTGTTGGGAATGGTGAATGTAGGCTCCCTTTTTACCTTGTAAAATTTGGGGTTTGTCGTTCAAGAGTTATGGGACTTTTAACAGTAATATTTAAGGCAATTATTATATGCCTAAGGATATCCTGAAAAAATTCAATATGCACAAGACAGGCATATCATATCATGCGCTCTTGACGCAGCTGTTAGTTTTATTTATGATCTCTATTACATATTTTTGTATCCTTCTGTCACTGAAAATTTCTAATTAGAAAAATCCATGTTCTTTCATCTATAAAGCTTGCTGAATTTCATTTCAGGTTTATACTGTAGAATCTAATCCATTGTGTAAAAGAATTGTTGATAGATTCATAGAAGAAAACAGTCTGAGTGAAAAGATCAAGGTGATAGAGAAACATCCAGAGAATGTGACCATTGATGATGTTGATGGAAACAAGGTTGAGTAATATTCTAGTAACAAATATCTTATCAAGTCCACAAGTTACATGGTCTCTTCACTTTGAAAGTTTTGTTTAGTTTATATGTTAAAGTCTGTGATTAGGTCAAATCAAGGGTACCTACTAGTGGTAGGTCAATGATATTTGGAATGCAGTTGTATTAGCATTTTCAAATTTCATTTCAAGATGCTGTGGTATTGGTACAGTTTGACATTTGTTAAACATTTTAAAGGTCATACATTGATTTTGTTTCTTAAAAATATGACAGTTTTTTGTTGTATTTCCTGAAAATTTGGTTGCGGATAAGGCATTGCAAGACTACAAATATGACCATTTGTAATCTTAATGATACTCAAATGACCTTTTCAAATAAAACATAAAACATAATGTATACTGTGGTAATATTTCAGGTTGACTTAGTTGTAGGAGAACCATATTTCCAAACATCAATGTTACCATGGCATCATATACAGTTCTGGCATTCTGTAAAATGTTTATCCAACGTTTTGCATCCTGAGACAATAGTTTTACCATGTAGAATGACTATAAAGGCTGTAGCTGTAGACTTTATAGATCTCTGGAAGATAAAAGCGCCTGTTGGAAACTGTGAGGGTTTTGATTTGGATATTTTTGACAAATTAATTGAGGTAATTTATACAGATATGATACTGTAGCTACTTTATATGAAACTTGTTTGTGGAAATGATACATGACTAAGATATGTCTAAGTATTCACAAAACATCTACAAAAAAAACCTAGCTTTTTTACGGTAGGGTTTTTTTCTCATTGCTGAAGATAGTATGGTGGCCTATAATTGCTTTCTACCACTTCATTTTGACTCTGATGGATAGTAGTCTCATTGGCAATCATACCACAACTACTCATTTTTGTCTCGCCTGCGACGAAAAGTCACAGTATGCGAGACATATGGATTACCATCAGGCAGCGGCGTAAACTCTTTGTATAAAGCTTTATATTTCAGAAGGTAAAAGACCTGGATGCTTTATACCTTGTATACAAATATTTATGTTACGAAGTTTACGACTGTCATATGTCTAATGTCCTTGACTATATTTGTATGGTTCAGTGACGGTTTGAACAAATGTGTAGTCTTTTTGTCATGCAAAATACTCAGGTAGCATGAGTAATATGATAACTATATTTGGTAAAGGGGATCCTTACAAATTCTTCATGTCCGTTAGACAACTGATCTCAACATCATTTCATGGACCAATGGTCACGGTTAATTTTTCGTGGTCAAGTGTGTAACTTAGTTACTATAAGAAATAGGTTAGTTAGATTTAATAGATATAAGAAGATGTGGTATGAGTGCCAATGAGACAACTCTCCATCCAAGTCAAAATTTATAAAAAGTAAACCATTATAGGTCAAAGTACGGTCTTCAACACGGAGCATTGGCTCTCACCGAACAGCAAGCTATAAAGGGCCCCCAAAATGTATGGAATCATTGTAAGTTATACATGTCTGACTGGCAGGTTTCATTTGACCTTGACCTCATTTTGATGGTTCATTGGTCAATGTAAGTTTTCGTGGTTTTGTCAGTTTATTAGATACTGTAAGCCATAGGTCAACTATATTTGGTGTATGGAATGATTGTACGTTGTACATGCTGTCTGGCAGAGTTCGTTTGATCTTAACCTAATTTTCATGGTTCGTTGTTTGCAGATACCATATTTTACGAAGTTTCAGTCTGTTATATGTCCATTGTCCTTGACCTCATTTTCATGATTCAGTGACTGCTTGAAAAAAAATTTGAGTTTTTTTGTCATGTAAATTTCTCACTTAATATGAGTATTAGGATAACTATATTTGGTATATTAGTTCTTTGCAACGTCTACATGTCTGTCAGACAGGATTCACCTGACCTCGATCTCATTTCATGGATCTGTGAATAAGGTTAAAGTTATGTGATTAGGTCTGTTTCTCAGATACTATAAGCAGTAGGTCAACTATATGTGGTGTATGGAATGATTGTAAGGGGTACATATCAGACTGGCAGGTTTCATCTGACCTTTACCCCATTTTCATGGTTCATTGGTCAATGTTAAGTTTTTGTGTTTTTGGTTTGTTTTTCAAGTACTGAGCAATAGGTCAACTTTATTTGCTGTATGGAATGATTGTAACATGTACTTGTCAGTCTAGCTGGTATCATTTGACCTTGACCTCATTTTTATGGTTCATTTGTCAATGTTAAGTTTTTGTGTATTAGTCTATTTTTAGCTCACCTGGCCCGAAGGGCCAAGTGAGCTTTTCTCATCACTTGGCGTCCGTCGTCCGGCGTCGGCGTTAACTTTTTACATTTTGAACTTCTTCTAGAGAACCACTGAATGGAATGAAACCAAACATGGCATGAATGTTCCTTATGAGGTGCTGACCAAGTGTTGTTACTTTGTAGCCGATCCATCATCCAAGATGGCCGCCAGCGGGGGACTAAGTTTAACATAGGACCCTATGGGAAATGCATACAAATGACTTCTTTTAGAGAACCACTGAATGGAATAAAACATAACATGGCATGAATGTTCCTTATGAGGTGCTGACCAAGTGTTGTTACTTTGTAGCCGATCCATCATCCAAGATGGCCGACAGCGGGGGACTTAGTTTAACATAGGACCCTATGGGAAATGCATACAAATGACTTCTTTTAGAGAACCACTGAATGGAATAAAACCAAACATGGCATGAATGTTCCTTATGAGGTGTTGACCATGTGTTGTTACTTTGTAGCCGATCCATCATCTAAGATGGCCGCCATCGGGGAACTTAGTTTAACATAGGACCCTATGGGAAATACATACAAATGTCTTCTTTTAGAGAACCACTGAATGGAATGAAACCAAACATGGCATGAATGTTCCTTATGAGGTGCTGACCAAGTGTTGTTACTTTGTAGCCGATCCATCATCCAAGATGGCCGCCAGCGGGGGACTTAGTTTAACATAGGACCCTATGGGAAATACATAAAAATGTCTTCTTTTAGAGAACCACTGAATGGAATGGAACCAAACATGGCATGAATGGTCCGTATGAGATGCTGACCAAGTGTTGTTACTTTGCAGTCGGTCCATCATCCAAGATGGCCGCCAGCGGGGGACTTAGTTTAACATAGGACCCTATGGGAAATACATACAAATGTCTTCTTTTAGAGAACCACTGAATGGAATGAAACCAAACATGGCATGAATGTTCCTTATGAGGTTCTGACCAAGTGTTGTTACTTTGTAGCCGATCCATCATCCAAGATGTCCGACAGCGGGGGACTTAGTTTAACATAGGACCCTATGGGAAATACATACAAATGTCTTCTTTTAGTGAACCACTAAATGGAATGAAACCAAACATGGCATGAATCTTCCTTATGAGATGCTGACCAAGTGTTGTTACTTTGTAGCCGATCCATCATCCAAGATGGCCCCCAGCGGGGGACTTCGTTTTACATAGGACCCTTTGGGAAATACATAAAAATGTCTTCTTTTAGAGAACCAATAAATGGAATGGAACCAAACATGGCATGAATGTTCCTTATGAGATGTTGACCAAGTGTTGTTACTTTGCAGCCGATCCATCATCCAAGATGGCCGACAGCGGGGGACTTAGTTTAACATAGGACCCTATGGGAAATACATACAATTGTCTTCTTTTAGAGAACCACTGAATGGAATTGAACCAAACATGGCATGAATGTTCCTTATGAGTTGCTGACCAAGTGTTGTTACTTTGCAGTCGATCCATCATCCAAGATGGCCGCTAGGGGGGGGGGGGGGGGGGGGGCTTAGTTTAACATAGGACCCTATGGGAAATACATACAAATGTCTTCTTTTAGAGTACCACTGAATGGAATGAAACCAAACATGGCATGAATGTTCCTTATGAAGTGCTGACCAAGTGTTGCTACTTTGTTGCCGATTTACTGTTCAAGATGGCCACCAGGATATTTTATTAAATAACGGGACCAATATTAATCAAAATTTGGCCTCAATCATTATTTGGGTATCTGTTATGATTTTTATCTATCTTTACATGATTTCTAAAACCAAAGTAGAGTCAGGTGAGTGACACAGGCTCTTGAGAGCCTCTAGTTTAAATACTACTAGCAATAGGTCAGCTATATTTTGTGTATAGAATGATTGTAAGGTATACATATCTGTCTAGCAGGTATCATCTGACCTTGACCTCATTTTCATGGTTCATTGGTCAATGTTAAGTTTTTGTGTTTGAACTATTTTCAATTATCATAAGCAATAGGTCAACAATATTTGATACATGGAATGAGTGTACCCGGTAAGTGTACATGTCTGTCTGGCAGGTACCATCTGACCTTAACCTCATTTTCATGGATCTTAAAAATGTTAAGTGTTTGTGATACTTGTAGTTAAACCTTTATCTTTAAAATTTGCAACATAAAATCAATGGTCAGTAAAGCAGATGAGACATTTCAGCGTGTGCACTCTTGTTATATTATAGCACAAAAAAACATTACAAAACACAATTTATAATTTAATTGGGGAAAGATTTACTATGGCTCTCATCTTAGTTAAGTCTCAACCCTTAAAATATTGAAAGCAAATGTTTATATTACCTTTAAAGTGTTTCGATCTTTTGTGTTGTTTTATTGATGTCTCATTGACATACAACCACCATCTTCTTTATTTTAATGTGTTTTGATTACAAGATAATTTGATATAAAATTAATTTAGAATTACAATGTGGTTATCTTTAATAGTGTTATTAAAATTGATTATAATTGCAATGTTATCTTTGACCTTATTATTACAATAAATTGGTATAAAAATGTTGTTATCATTGACCTTATTATTACAATTATTAGAGCCCAGCCTAGTGGCAGGTCGCCCTATAGTGATCAGTCTGTTCGTCCGTCTGTCCGTCCACTCTATATCTAGAGAACCGTTATAATCTCATACTTTATACTTGACATGAATATTAACCAACACCAGAGGGTGTGTCATAATGTTTGTACAACTTCCTAGGTCAAAGTTCAAGGTCAAAAACTTTGGTTTCAGTTGACAACCCCATGTCCTATTGTAAAGATCGTGTCCGCTCTATATCTTGAGAACCGTTATGATTTCAAAGTTTATACTTGACATGTATATTAACCAACACCAGAGGGTGTGTCATAATGTATGTACAACTTCCTAGGTCAAAGGTCATGGTCAAAAACTTTGGTTTCAGTTGACAACCCCATGTCCTATGGTAAAGATCGTGTCCGCTCTATATCTTGAGAACCGTTATGATTTCAAAGTTTATACTTGACATGTATATTAACCAACACCAGAGGGTGTGTCATAATGTATGTACAACTTCCTAGGTCAAAGGTCATGGTCAAAAACTTTGGTTTCAGTTGACAACCCCATGTCCTATGGTAAAGATCGTGTCCGCTCTATATCTTGAGAACCGTTATGATTTCAAAGTTTATACTTGACATGTATATTAACCAACACCAGAGGGTGTGTCATAATGTATGTACAACTTCCTAGGTCAAAGGTCATGGTCAAAAACTTTGGTTTCAGTTGACAACCCCATGTCCTATGGTACAGATCATGTCCACTCTATATCTTGAGAACCGTTATGATTTCAATGTTTATACTTGACATGTATATTAACCAACACCAGAGGGTGTGTCATAATGTATGTACAACTTCCTAAGCCAAATACAACACTTTAACTAAAAAACATGGAATAAAATCACTTTCAGCACATAACGAGACTATGTAATAACTTAAAAAAGTGCTTCATATCAGCTTATCCATACAAATTGTTTACCACACGAAAACTGCTGCTGATCATTGTCATTGTAGTCCTTAACATTTGCTGCAGAATTCATCTTTATGTCTTTTTCCATCAATCCATACAACTGGCTTAGTTTTATTCTCTTGTGAGTAATTATATGTGGAGATATTACTCCACCAGGGCATAATTCTGGCTTGACAAGTAATGCTAAATAATCTGTGTCTATTTCAAGAAGTTTTTTTTTCTTTTATATTATATTTCTATAATTAAGGGTAAAGTGCATCCGGTGTACTGTAGCACATGTAACCTGCTCTAACAGATTCAACCACTAACATCTTTAATAGTCAAATAGTAACATGTTATTTACAGCGGGGCCCACAGAGATGGCTCCCATCTCAATGATGACAAGTTTAGAATTGTTAGCTTTGACATTTTTGTAATTAATTAAAATAACAATGTTGTTATCTTTGACCTAATTATTACCATTAATTAGAATACCAATGTTGTTATCTTGGACCAAATTATTACCATTATTTAGAGTACCAATGTTGTTATCTTTGTAATATTATTACAATTTAATAATTAGAAAACAATGTTGTTATCTTTGACCTTATAATTACAATTACAATGATGTTATCTTTGACCTTATAATTACAATTACAATTATGTTATCTTTGACCTTAAAATTACAACTACATGTGTAATGATGTTATTGTTGACTGAATTATTGCAATTACAACATGTGCACTGTTATTGACTGCTTTTCTTTTGTAATTATTCTGGTCATTATTTCTCAACATGATCTCAAAATATTGCATTTATAGTGTTGTGATTTTCTCTCATGGTACCATGTTATATTTAAAGAAAACTTAGATAGGATTTGAGTTTTTAAGAAGAAATTAATTACTTCTTAAGTAAAAAAAATAAAAAAGTAAACACTTCAATATTTTTTTCAGGCATCGTCTGATATAGCAGATGAGACAGTAGAACCACAGCCATTATGGGAATATCCTTGTCAAGCCAGAAGTGATGTTAAGAATGTCTATACATTTGATTATACAGATTTTGTAAGCAAGAAAACATTACCTTGTATGACCAACACAAAACTGAACATTAACAGGTTAGTTAAGAAATACTACCCATCAAATATACTAGATACTGTTCTTTTCACTTTTGGCAATGAAACATGAATTTTAACTTTGAATGTTCCCATCATTTATTCTATTTGATTTAAGCTATATTTCACAAAAGACACATTAAGCTCTAAATTCTCCATTGTCTAGGAAAGTCGTGAATAAATCTAATAAAGCCTATAAAAGATCTGCCTTTAACCTCAATTCCTTAAAGGTCGAAACACATATATGACTAAAGTCAATCATTGACTAGATCCCTAAATATAGGCATAGGAATCATGTGAGATTAAAATATTTTTTAGCACAACACTTCTTTTTATTTTTGGGGCCTAGTTGGTGAAATGGTCAAAGTAGTTCATCTACATTGATCCTTAACATGTCAACACTGAGGTTGTGATTCAAACCCTGCCCTTTGCAATGTGCTGTCAGCTCTAATCTTATTTGACTAAGATTGTCAGTTTTCCTGCTAAAGGTTGGGGGTTTCTTTTTTGGTACTTTGGATTCTACCAATTAAAAAGTTACTGCCATGAAAAAGCCAAGTGTGCTGAAAGAGGCATTAAGCATTATCAATCAGTCAATCAATCTTTTAAAAATTTTCGTCTGATGAATAAATAAGATACACTGAAAGAACCTTTACTAAAAAATAATTTCATGCAATGCACTTAGTTTTATGATATCTTGAATTAAATAATGATTATTATTATGAATTATGAGCGAATAAAGATTGACTATTGAAAATTTTCGTTTATGATTTGTTAGTAAAAGAAATCTATAAAATGTTACTTTTTATAGAAACCTTTTGACACCTTCCTGTAAATTAAAGAAATGCCTTAAAATACACAATGAAATATCCATTTTGTTCTTGGTGTACAGTACTCTGTAATGTATCTATATGTATGGGTAATTCTTCTTCAATACTCTATTTGACATGAACAATTATTACATACATAATATAAGGAAACATTTGTTATTTAATTCATACATTATTTGCATATAAATTAAAATCCCATTATTATCAAAAATTTAATTTGAGCATGCTGGCTAATTATTCTGACTAAGCGATCAACTTTTCTAGCAGATTCTTAAAACTAACCTGTATTGTAAATGAGAAAGGCAAAATAAAACAATAATACTGTAACAAAAAATACAATTGTCTTACACTTTATTTGGACTTTCTTTCATAAAAGATAACACATTTCATCATGAACTTCTCAGTTTCTGCATCTCCTTCAAGTCAGACTACAAAATACTGAATAATTAGAGATACTACTTCAAGAGTGTTTAGTGACCTTGATAGGCTATTAAGACCTTGCTCTGTCAGCTTATTAGAGATACTACTACAGGAGTGTTTAGTGACCTTGATAGGCTATTAAGACCTTGCTCAGTCAGCTTATTAGAGTTACTACTACAGGAGTGTTTAGTGACCTTGATAGGCTATTAAGACCTTACTCTGTCAGCTTATTAGAGATACTACTACAGGAGTGCTAGCGACCCTGTTAGGCTATTAAGACCTTGCTGGGTCAGCTTATTAGAGTTACTACTAAAGGAGTGTTTAGTGACCTTGATAGGCTATTAAGACCTTGCTTGGTCAGCTTATTAGAGATACTACTACAGGAGTGTTTAGCGACCTTGATAGGCTATTATTACCTTGCTCAGTTCCCTTATTAGAGATACTACTACAGGAGTGTTTAGTGACCTTGATAGGCTATTAAGACCTTGCTCGGTCAGCTTATTAGAGATACTACTACTGGAGTGTTTAGCGACCTTGATAGGCTATTAAGACCTTGCTAGGTCAGCTTATTAGAGATACTACTACAGGAGTGTTTAGTGACCTTGATAGGCTATTAAGACCTTGCTCGGTCAGCTTACTAGAGCTGATGGGAGGATTAGCCATAAATGAGTTTATCTTCCAAGAGTTCCTGTCACATTATAGTTATCACTGTAAATACATTTCATTGTATGCACTCATGATTTTCTTGACTTTTTTTCAAGCTGAATAGTAGGTCAACGATATTTTGTATACAGAATTTCAGCTAGATGTAGATTTTTGTCAGACAGGGCTAGTTATTACTGTGGATTAAATAAAGTTTGACTTATAATCAAAAATATAATTTATTTAAATATTTTGTAGTCATGGTAGTTGTAATGGAATTGTGTTATGGGCTGATTTTGATTTTGGAGATGGAAATGTTGTAACAACAGGACCAAGGGACATAACTGTGATCAACAAGAAAATAGAATGGGATTATTATTCTAGACAAGGTGTACACTTACTGAAGAAGCCAGTACATATTTCTACAGAGGATTTAAAGCTTAGCAAACACTGTGTTATTAAGATTGAAACAAAATTTGAACCTTTTAAAAGTGATGATTTTGCATTTGCATTTTCTATGGAATATTGTCAATAAAATAACAAAGTGATTTTATTAATAGATCGTTTTTTTTATGGGTTTTTTTTTTAAACTTTTACAATTTCAGACAAGTTCAAATGCAGGTGCTTGAAGTTACAAAAATTCAATTGTTCAAAGTGAAAATAAGTAATTCTTGATTTATTGTCTTTCCTTGACAAAGTTACTTTTAGGTGTGCTGTTTCCAGTGTCTGTGTTTGTAGCATCATTCATTGTTAAAGTTTGTGATTAGGTCTGTTTTAGGTAAGTCAAAGATATTTGGTAGGCAGTTGTATAACCATTGGCACATCTCATTTCCTTGGACACATTTGGACCAGCTGTCTCCGTCATTAGTTCAAGGACTTTTAATCTTTTGAAAGGTCTACATGATACACAGGTAAGACAGATCTATGTGTCAACAGTTTATACATCAGTGAAGTTCCTTATGAGATTCATCAGTAGCGGAGCCTTAGGTTTGCCTTCTCAGAAACATTTAATTCGGAAATGTTTTGTACTGGTCAGGTTGGAATTTTGATATTGTTACATTACTCACATTTGTCATTACAATTATGCACCATAAGAATGCAGAAAATATACAAATTTCAGTGATTTGCACAATAATTTGTGTATGCTAGAAACAACTTTACCCTGGTCTTATATGAATTTAACCCATTTCACATATTTCTTTCTAAAGAAATTTGTATACCAAATAAAATTGAGAATGGAAATGGGGAATATGTCAAAGAGACAACAACCCGATCAAAGAGCAGAAAACAGCTGAATGGGTCTTCAACACAGCTAGAAAATCCCGCACCTGGAGGCGGGCTTCAGCTGCCCCTAAATACTGTAAATTCAGAAATCATTGCGATGTTTTTATTATTGCAAAAAATGCGACAAAGTTACAATCGCAATAATAAAAACTTGCACCAAGAAATTCCCTACATAAACCTAAAACTTCTTAATGCTCTATGTTTTGCATTCATCGTCAAGGCAAAAATCACTTACTTTACCAAGTGAGAAATTCAGGCTCCTGGAAAACAAGTTAGCTCTAATAGCATTTAAGGGCAAAGCAGTACACTCAAACATGCTATATATAAAAACTTTGATTATTGTCTTCATCTTAAATTACATTGATTTTGTTTTGATAGATTAAAACATAACTAAATAAGTATTGATGTGGAAATATTTGTCCTAAATTAAAGAAAATGCATCACTTTATTTTGTCCCCAATCCGTTGTAGCTAACTATCAATCGTCTCAGTCATAACAGCTGAATGGATGTACAGGTCAGTCATCAGTCTGCCATAAGATGTTTTCAGATTAGCTGCAGGTATTACTATAACTATAAAAAAACATTTCACCACCATACAGAATATAAGGTTTAGTGTTTAGTAATTTTGGTGGTCTGCATCTGCATGTATTTAATTGCCTAAATGTGTGTCCAAAGATGTGCGAAGACCCTGTATCAGTGATGGTGTAGATGTACTTGCCAGGCTTCCTTGGCTATCACTGTTGTCACTTACTTCTACTTGTATCCATCAACTTGGTGTACAGCTGATCAACCTGGCTCTGAAAATAGCTCTTTTAAAGTTAACGTCACCAAAACCAATTGACAACAACAAACGATAGCCAAATGATCCTCCTGCCTTTTATTTCCATCAACAACAAAAATATTTAACCAATCTTTCCAAAAGGCCCTCAAGGCCTTGAACCATCCATCTTTGACCTCTTTTGGTAGTCAAGGACATTAAACATCCTCAATAGTAGTAGTAGCTTACTATAACCAGCTAAATTTGAAGTGCAACGGTTATATTAGTTAGTTAGATCAGTGAAAATAAAATCAACCTTAGCCATGCTGGCATAGCTAACCCTCTTTAGTTACATTAGTTTTCATCATACATTTCTTAACAATTTTCCAGAATTCAAAATTATTTCAGATTCAAATAATTACTTGTTTTAAGTATTTGGGTTAAGAAATTGAAACTTGAATCATAGCTTAAATTATATATAAGAATTTAACAGTTGGTGTGGAATATTGCATGGTCCTAGTGTGCATGGTCTTTTGAAATACAATCTACATAAAATTGGTGCTGGGATATGTACCAGTAGCTTTGCTGCCATTTCTCACACACAGCTGAAGTGCAGAATGGTCCATAGTCAGGTGCTACATTTTGAAACAATCATATTAGATTGAGCCATCATGAATATGTGGTATTTTTTTTCTATACTGAGTTATACATGTGGACTTTACAGTATTAAAAGTACTGGGACATCTTTGAAACAATGGCCATCCTTTCCCCTAGAACTACCAAGCTCTTTGATTACAAATAAGTTCTTATTATTTTTCTTACAGTTGATTTGCTGTTGCCAGTCCACAACATCTGTTTCATTATTTTCATTCTTTATAATTGATTTAACTTTTTTCTTCATTCAAAAAAGTTCACATCAATATGAATTTTATCTTGTTTTCTTAATAGTATGGTTAATGTCAGGATTCATGCCAACTTATTAAAACAGTTAATTTTAGTTTAACAAATTTTAATGATCCATCGAATTTGCAGATTTTTAGGTGCAGTTTTGATATGTTGCAGTTTATTATCACAAATAACTTTATCCCATCTGGTATGTTATAAGATGCACAAGTTTGATTATATGTTTACTGCAGAAGTTTTTATTAGATAGGATCAGACTTTGAAAATCATCTCCTTGTTTGTGGTTTGAGAAGAAATGTGTTGGCAAAATGTATCCTTAAGTTAGTGCATTACCATAACAGAGAAAGCCTATTCCTCATTCTAATGGTTTGATTTCAGATGCATGTATGAAGGATCTTATTGTCACCATTTCAATAATTAATTGTATCAAGGCTTTAAGTTGCACCTACATTCTGTTTTCGGTCTTTGCTTCCATCCGTACGGTACGTTCATAGTCCATACATCTTGTATCAGGTTAAACTTTTGGTTTAGGTTAAGTTAAAGTTTTTAAACTTAATACACATGTTCGTTATGAAGTGAACTATTTTTTATATATGTCAAATTATGGTTTTTACCCTAATTTCAAAGTTCACTGAATGGATTGTAAAAGGTTTTTGTTTAAATGTAGGTTAAAGTTGTGGTTTAAAGTAGTTTGTAGTTGTTCAAATTAAATCTAGTACATGTGTTTATTATGAAGTGAACTGTTTACTATATATATATATATATATATTAAAAATTAGGGTAATGAACCAGATTTCACACTACACTGAACATAGAAATGTAATAGTGTGTTCTATGGACACATATTGTTGTTTATATACGACCGCAAAAAAATTTTTGTGGTCGTATATTGGTATGACGTTGGCGTAGTCGGCTTCGTCGTCGTCGTCCGAAGACACATTAGTTTTCAAACTCTAACTTTAGTTTAAGTGAATGGATCTCAATGAAATTTTACCATAAGGTTCAATACCACAAAAGGAAGGTGGGGATTGATTTTGGGGGTTATGGTACCCACAGTTAAGGAATTAGGGGCCAAAAAGGGGCCAAAAATAAGCATTTTTGTAACTTCAAGACATAACTTGTGTGCAAGTGTATGGATCTCTCTGACATTGTACCACAAGGTTCCATATCACAACGGGAATGCTGGGATTGATTTTGGGGGTAATTGCCTCCAAATTTTAGGAATTAGGGGCCAAAAACAAGCATTTTTCTAGTTTCAGGACAATAACTTGTGTGTAAGTGTATGGATCTCTCTGACATTGTATCACAAGGTTCCATATCACAAAGGGAATGCTGGGATTGATTTTGGGGGTAATTGTCTCCAAATTTTAGGAATTAGGGGCAAAAAAGAAGCATTTTTCTAGTTTCGTGACAATAACTTGTGTGTAAGTGTATGGATCTTTATGAAATTGTACTACAAGGTTCCATATCACAAAGGGAAAGCTGGAATTGAGTTTGGGGGTAATTGCCCAAAAAGTTTAGGAATAAGGGGCCAAAAATAAGCACTTTTCTAGTTTCCAGTCAATAACTTGTGTTCAAATGTATGGATCTCTCTGAATTGTACTGCAAGGTACCATACCACAAAGGGAAGGCTGGGATTGATTTTGGGGGTAATTCCCTCAAAATTTTAGTAATTAGGGGCCATAAAAGGGCAAAAAAACAAGCATTTTTCTAGTTTCAGGACAATAACTTGTGTGTTAGTGTATGGATCTTTATGAAATTGTACTGCAAGGTTCCATATCACAAAGGGAAAGCTGGGTTTGAGTTTGGGGGTAAATGCCCTAAACGTTTAGGAATTTGGGGCCAAAAAGGGGCCAAAAAACAAGCATTTTTCTAGTTTCCAGACATTAACTTGTGTTCAAGTGTATGGATCTCTCTGAAATTGAAATTATACTGCAAGGTACCATACCACAAAGGGAAAGCTGGGATTGAGTTTGGGGATGATGAATCATAAGGGGGTTAAAAAAATTGGGGGGGATTTTTTTTTCCTTTTTTTTCTTTAAAATTTTCCATTTTAAATTGGTTATTTCTGATTTATATATAAAAGCAAATAATAATGATATGGTTTGAATAGGTAAATTAAAAATTTTTAAGTTCTTAGACCACTTTCATTCTGTGCGAGAAACCTATGCTGTGTCAAATATTTAATTACAATCCAAATTCAGTGCTGTATCAAGCTTGAATGTTGTGTCTATACTTGCCCCAACTGTTCAGGGTTCGACCTCTGCGGTCGTATCAAGATGCGCCCCAGCGGAGCATTTTATTTTTATATTCATATTTCATTTATCTCAAATCATTATTCATAAACAAATATATTGTGCTCACCATTAAAGATTTTTCTTTTGTACTTCAATTTCAGAATTGTATAACACATAACTGTATACAATTTAAGTCATGCCTGTACAAAGAGTTATCTTCTAAATTTTAAGTCAATGTGATCTTTAAGAAAGTCATTTTTCCAATCTACATGGTTTTTTTTTGTTTCTTTTCCCAGGCAAAATGACATGTATGTGCTTCTGCAACTTTTTAATTTCAGCCCACTTGTCCAAGATTGACTCACCATAACTGATATTTTGTACTTCTGTTTCCATTGTTAGAAACTCCACAAAAATTACTCTATGTTACTCTGGTGAGAGAAAAAATGTTTTATTTTGGAGTTTATTTTTTGTTGTTCTAGAACTTTTCCAACATGGATTGAGAAAGCACATTGGTAGGTTTTGCTGAAATAAAACTGGTATAATCCCACCACATGTGGGTATAAAGTCAGGCTATCTAGACCTGTGTGTTGTTCATTGTCATTTTGTCTTTGTTTGGATGTTTATTTTTTAAAGTAGAGTCCGCTGTCTGCTTGGTGAGGTCTGTTGTACTGTAATTTATTTTTAGAGATAACTGTTATCCTTTTATACATATTACAAGAGTGCACATGCTAAAATGTCTCGCCTGCTTTACTGATCATGACTGAATTTATGTTGGAAGTCTTCAAGATAAAAGTTTTTACTACAAGTATCACATAAATTTAACATTATCTATGATCTAAGTAAATTAGTTCAAGGTCAGATGAACTTTGCCAGACAGACATGTACACTTAGCAATCATTCCATACACCAATTATGATTGACCTATTGATTAAAGTAAGGTATCAGAGAGAGGGACCTAACCACTAAAAAAAACTTAAAATGAGGTCGGGGTCAGTTGACAAAATTTCTGCCTTAAAAAATCTATCCAATATATCCTTGTATTTCAGTGGCAGTCCAAATTTCCAGCCTTTTATCCCTGTTGTTCCACCTTGCAGATTCTATGTACTGTTTTATTTGTTAATGTTTTCTTGTCCATCCTGAATATACATGAAATAATTGCCACTGGACATTGAGCATGCAACAATCAATCAATCTCCATAAAATATGACCTTGTTATTGGTAAGAGTCACATGTAGAAAATAATGAAAACAATGCACAATTATAAATATTTAATAGTTATGTATATGCAATTTATACTTGTCATAGACACATGATAAACAGTTGTATCAAGGCACTAAATGGTCATTAATAATCATTCAACAAGATTTCATTGGTAGTCTATTGATGTATTGTATCTGCTAATGTTACACAAAGTTAACAAAATAATATCAATGATTTAAAGAAGATGGGGAAAATGACAAGAAATATGATGATCCAAAGCAGTAGTTAAATGTCAAATATCAGTGTTAATTGTTTTGATTATTTGTACTTTATTGACTGAATAAACATAAAATTTGACAAGATATTCCTATTATACAAACAATATATATTATTTTGGTTTAAAAATTTGTTGCATAAATTTGATTGGTTTAAATATAAAGGCATGTAAGTTTGTCTGATGTCATTTCTGTATTAATAGAATACTATTATAATCAAAACAGAAATGACAATAATTTCTACTCAGGTCATGAGGAACTGAGTTTTATAAATGGTTACAATCTATACTTTCTTGGGTAGTCAACAGAACCTGTTAATCTGAGTACAGAGTTAATATATGATTGTCTGTTAAAATAAACTATTTCCAGGTTTGTGGTAGATGATTTAATCCCATGAAATATATTCCTTTAAAGTTAGAAATTGCATTTCAAAAATATCTTGTACTTGTCTGATTCTAGGGGCATGCGTTTGATGAGCAAACTATGAAAAAACTTCTTTGCTAATAAATATCTAAATATACTGATACCTCTAATCAGTTAAATAATAAATTTCTGAACAGAAATGACACAAGAATTCAAGTAATTTTTTTTCCCAGATGACATTACAAGCAGATTTGTTTCTTGTTATAGATTTTAGAAAGACCAAAAAATTAAAAGCAGTGAGGTAAAACTTTGACTAACTACCACAAATTTGGAGGATGCCTATTTTTTTGTTAATTTACTTGCATAGTATTACTGTATAAAATGTATAAATGTTTCAAAAGCATAAAGTTTTGCTTAATGTTGAAGTTAACCAATAAAACATGATTGACTTATCTCCAGAGTATTCATTAATTGTAAATTAAACTGCAGACAGAGGATACTGTTCTTCCTTTGATTTCTAACTATATTAAGATAATAACTGATACAAAACCATCCTTCAAGCTTTAAAAGCAACATAGAATTCCAAACCATCAATAGAAAGTTTTATACAGAACCTTACATGTTTCATGCATAAATTTTGTCAGAAATAGCTCTAATTAGAGAACATTTGAAACTTTAAAATTTTGTGAATCCAATTTGAATTAAACGATGATTACACTTTCAACAAAACTAGAACTGACTTTCATTAAAAAGTTTTATGAACAATTGGAAAAAACCCTTTAATTGGAAAAAAACTATGAACATAAAGCAATCATAATGTCATAGTAGATCTTTGTTTTAAATCTAGGATATACCTTTTAAGTGATACATCTGAGCAGATCTTGTATAAACACAACATTAAGTAAGCCAATACCAAAAATCTTTTCTTTCTAAGGCCATTTCAATATGAATATGGATAAGGGCATGACGAATGTGCAATGCTGGTGTAAACATTTCTGACAAGAAAGCTGTTTTTTTTTTCAAACTAATAAGTTTATTCACATTAAACCACATTGCAGACCTGCTGCTTAGATAAAGAAATGGCCTAAGATATAAAGAAACAAAAATTATCAGCTAGAACTAATATAGCAATAATCATAAATAAATTAGAATTTTTACAATTCCTTTTCCTATTTTACATAAATTTTTAAAATAACTTTCTTCCCAGTTGGAACAATATATCAACAATGAAAAATAAGTTGACTTAATTTATGTTTTCTAGGAAGAAAATTACTTCGGTTTAATCTAAGTGAATACATACAAGTTATATAATCATTGTAGTTGATTAAACATGTACTATCCTAAATCATTTCATTTGAAAAATTTGTCATAAATAAATATCAATTAAAATAGCACTTTCTGATGCAATTTACTACAATCTGTATGATTTTTAAATTTACAAATTATAATATAAATGAGATCATTTCTGAATAACATACCTTTTACAAAATAACTGTACTGCTCTAACCACTGACCCAATCCAAGAGGTAATTTTAATGAGCATTAATATAAAATGCTTGATGTTATCATTGTTTGTGAGCACCTTTGAAGAGTGAATTACAAATTTAAACTGATATGTTACTGAAAATTAACAAAACTTTAGTTCAAATCAAAATTATTTTGTTTCCTTCTAAAGGACTTTGAATGACCACGAAAACCAAAATGTAATTTTTGATAAAAAAGTATTGTAAGTACCAGTATTTCTATAAAATATTTGGCAGATGATTATAATCAGACTGTGTCATAATAAACAGTACAAAACCAAAGTGTCCAAAAGGGAAATAACTCATTATTTCAAAATGAAAAATATATATAAATTCACAAATTCATGTTAAAATTAAACCATTGTAGTAATTAAGCCACTGGCTTCTTTCTGTGTTATCTTTCTAACCTTCATGGTAGACAAGTCACTTTTTACAATGCATTTAGATTGTATACCATGCTGTTGACTATGATGACACAACTGGAGAAGGCCAGTAGCCATAAAGTCTTAAAAATTGATGAAATACTACAATATTGTAAAATATGTCCCCTTTTTTAAATTTCTACATAAGAAATTAAGTTTTGTTTTCATTTTTCATTTCAGCCATTTTAAGTGCTGAAATTAATGATTTTATTGCCTATTTCTAATAACAACCTTATAATTCAAGAGAATACTGGTAGTTATAACTTATAACATTTCAAAATCATTTACCTAAGCATTGTATAAAGATATATATAGAGCACTATAAAGCAGATGCCTGTCCTATCACAAGTTTCAGTTCATATGCAGCATGTGAAACATCAACAACTTTATCCACCATTTCCTGCACTGCAGGAATAGAAGGGTATTGTAATGCTGCAGTTTTAGTCGCAGAAACTGTCAATTTGAGAATATCACATAAATGATTTGCACAATGCATTATCTTATTTCTAACTTCAATATTCATCAGATTTCTATGTAGTGTGTCCCCAATATATACAAGTTTATGAGCTGAAACAACAACAAATTTACTGTTTGATATAAATACTTTTGGTCCCTGTCCACATTCAATACAAGAAAAGAATGCATCGACAGCATTCGTCAGTAAAGTTGAATGAGTATCTAACTGACTTGAATAATAACACACAACTTGTTTATCATTTGGATCTAGTTTGATTGTCGATGGTAGGGAAGTTGGCGATGTTAGTTTGAAATTTCTGTCAACTGGTGTTTTCACAAATAATGGTTCAGGACTACTTTTGTTGGATAATATATCATCCATGCTATTTGATTTCTTCATGAATTGTTTTGATGGAGAATCTTCTCGCATCGGTGAGACTGAACGACTTCCAATTTTAGGAGGCGTTAATTCTCTCATTGGGGACGTTTCTTTCACAGGTTTATCATCCAAATCAGGATGAAGGTTTTGCTGCTCCAAATTTGACTTATCTATTTTTGTCTTAGAAACATCAGAACCATCAGGCGAATCTAAATGAACGTAATCGTATTCTTCGATAATTTCATTCTCATCTTTTACTTTATCTTGTGCTGTATAAGAATCCAAAGACATTTGTTTGAACTCTTCAGATAACCTTCTTAAATCTCCAGAATCCCGTTTAAATTCAACAGAAGCAGTCTTTGAATCAAAACTCATTGATTTTTTATCTGTTGGTGTTGGTGGCAGCGGTCTTGGTGGAAGAGGCAGTGGTCGGCCTTGAACATTAGTAATACTTGGTTTTGGCAAAACAGTTGGTTTCTGAGCCACTGGTGGCTTTGGTGGTGTTGAAATACTATGATTTGAGTCCTGAGCTCTTTTGAACAGTAATGTAGAGTTTCCATGAATGAGGGACACCATCTTTTTAACATCACTTGTGAGATCTTTTGAAATTAATGCAATTTTGCCTAAATCATCATCTATTGAAGCATCATTTGACACCAGACTAGATAACTGCCAACTGATCAATTCAAGATTTTTTAAACATGACTTGATTTGTTCCAGATTTTGTAACAATGGACATAATTGTTTTGTCAGTTTATTAATGAGTTTCTTTTCTGGTAGTTTAGCAGAGTTTGCTAATGTACCTTGGGCAAATTCAAGAAATTCTTCCAAAGTTGCTTTCACTTTAGTACATGCTGATTTAATATTGTACAAATTTGGTTCCAATTCATCTTTCCTTCGCCAACTACTACTTATAAAGCTACACAATTTTGTTGTAGCCTTTTGCACATCTTGTTGCAGTTTAACCATCAAATCCATGGCTGCATCAAGATCATATGGCAATTCATCATAAATTGGAATGTCAGAATTTCTGGAGTCCAAACTACAAATTGACAACCTGTATCCTTCATCTGTACTTTCAGATGAATCCGATTTCGAGGAAAACATGGAATCCCTTGTCACTTGCGGCGGAATGTCATACACACCACCACATCTCTCTCCCCTAGTAAGAGTTCTGTCCCCAGATTTTTCTCTTCTCCTAGATTTACCATCAAGCTCATCAGAAAGAAAGTTCTTTTCATTTTTACGCACAAGTGTATTACTTTTCGGTACATCATATATATCATCTATATCATGTTCAATGACTGAGGATTGATCAGCAATGTCATAAGCATTTTCAGTGTGCTTTCCAGGACTGAGAAAAGAATCACTGTGAGATTTAGGGATGTCATAATCTGCTTTTGGTACATCATAATCCTCCATGGAATCTGTAACAGATTTCTGTTTTTGTGGAGAATCATACATGTCCAATCCTGAATCAGCTGATGGTTGTTTATGATGATTGAAAGGCAAAGCTTGCAGTCTTGATGGAGGTACATCATAAAAGTCATGTGGTGAAATATCCATGCTTGAGCGAGCCGAATCAGTCATGCTTTCCTGATTGGATCCTTGACATCTACCACTACTTTTGTTTGAAGCACTACTGGATGAAAATGATTCATTGGATAAATGAGAAAGGTGGGATAAGTTTGACATAATGCTGGAACGATTGGATAGTGATGTTGGAACATCATAGAATTCTGTTGGAAATAAATTCTGTGGTGTCATTTGATTGTTTTCTTGATTGTGTTGGAAATTTTTCTGTTGTGGGGGAGTGTCGTAATCCAATTGTTCAAAACTACTTTGGCTGTTGAGTTTTGGTGGGGTATCATAATTCTCCTGACCTTCTATTGGTTGAGGACGTGTTGGAGGTACATCATAATCCTGTGTTGGCATTTCAGGAGTTTCAAAGATAAATTGTTGGTTTTCTGTCTTCGTTGGTGTTCCAACCTGAAAACAAAAGGGATAAAATTATTATATTGCATAAACAGTAATTCTTATAGAAGGAAACAGATTACAAGTAACCAGTTCATTTTGTGATTATCAGTCAAATAATGAACCAAAAATGTACAATGACATCGTTTAAAGCTACTAGTCAGCAAAGGAAATATATGTGGGAACATGATGATGATACATATATTCTTTACAAATGTTTCTTATGAACATATAAAAAATCATTGACACTGACGAAGGCTATTTGTTAAGCTGAAATATTTGTCAACACGATTTTATAACATCATCTTCGTATATTACCATCTTATATTAGTACCATTGTGCAAATCTTTCGACTTAATATGATTTTTTCCATATCTGCGCAGTATCGTCTATTCTAGACGATCCAGTACATATTAAATTTGCTGGTTGGTCCTTTTTATAGACTTCTATATATATATATTTATAGATTAACGTTGGTTATCTGAACGAGATTGATTTTCTCGCTTGAGCCGGTACGGCGAAAGTGAGAAAAGGAATTGAGTTGAGATGACCAATGATAATCTGTTTATCGCTATTTTACCTATGACTAGAGTGTTAATTTCATTGACAACAGGCACGTGCGCCCTTAGTTTCTAGCGATAATTTTTCATATCACTCTACTCTGCTGAGAAAAGAAGTTATCAGTCAGTAAGATCAAAGGAAAATTTCGTAGAATAGCGATAAACATAATTACTCTAAATATCAGCATAACAATTTTTAATCAGCAAATTTGCGGAAGCAAATCTTTTGTTCTTCTCTCGCCGGAATTCGAACTCATGCTATTGGGATATTGTGACAACACCGCCTGCACTGTGTCCAGCGCTCTTGACCACTCGGCCACCTAGACTGAACTAAAAATTCAGCTTTCTGTGGCCTAGTGTTACCTTTCCTCGTCAGTAGAATCTAGAGTTGTAACACAGTACAAGATTTATTAGGTATGAAGATCGAACATATATATATATATATATAAACTCGATCATGCTATCGACAAAAACAGTAAAGAGAGAATGACAAAAACAGAGATGAGAAATAAAACTCAAGACTTTAACATTAAGGGCAAGACTTATTCCTTGCTTGAAAACATAACTTACAATATTCACCTGAAAATGTGTGTTGAAAAAGAATTTAAAAATTGAAAAAAATAACTATGTGAGAATATGCACAATCTCAGTTTGAAAAATGTGGCCATTTACCAGTATTAAATACAGTCTAAATGTCAATAACTTCATTCATCTGGCAGAAGATTTATAACTTTTATCAATTCTACATGTTACATAATTTTAATATAAAACCATGATATTTTGAAACATTTAAAATTGCCAAATCTTATTCTCTAATATTGCATAATATCCTCATAAAACTGCCCCAATATCTCCTTGGCTGATTGTCAATATCAACCATCACAGTTTTTCTAATTATAGATTAGACAAACATATTAAACTTACTTCAGACAAAATATACACAACGGAATGTTTGTCAGTAATGTAATCATTAATTATAATTACAAAATTTTACACAAAGTTATTATCAATCAAGCTAAGATAACATATTAAACATGGATATGATGATAATTTTTGGCAGATTTGGCACCTATCTACTTTCATTTTTTGATTGCATAAATTCTTACTGCTCTGTTGGGTGTCGAAAATAAGCACAAGTTATGCATCTGATAGTATTTATAGGTAACATTTATTAGTCATCAGAATTCTTAAACATGTAAACATGTCTGGTGTTTAAAAAATTTAACTGAATCAAACAACAAAAACCTGGAATCAGTGTCAAAAATCTGCCACATCACTGAACTTGTCAGAGTTATTTCCCTTATATCATAAACCATAACCTGTTTACACATCTGGCACTTTTTCAGATATCATGATCATGATAATAACAAATAAACAAATGAATCAATCAATGTAATCAACAGCTTCAAAAAACAACTTGTTTATTGTACACAATAAACAACTGTTTTTTGTTTGTTGAAAACAGCTTTTAATACAGAATAGATAATTTTATCATGCATCATTCTTTGGTAAGTTCAAAATTAGTTCAAAATAACCATAATCCAATGCATCAAAACCCTCCCCAGTTCCATTTAGCTTTCATAAGCCTTCAGCTTCTTGGTATAAAAAGAAACAGTATAAATATTGTCCAATATGTCACTTTAACTTGTACTTTATGTGTTTACCTTGTGTGGATATAAAAAGAAGTTTACACTTTGTAGGTAAATTAACAACAATGGACACTTTGTTTTACTTATGTAGACATTTACAACCATTTTTTTTTGTCTGTGAGAAAAGTATAGAAAAATTAACAACTGCCCTTATATCATTAAAAGAAATAAACCATGCATAAATTTGACTGTTATCTGCACTGAACAAAACCGCTGGAGAAAAATAACCCAAGAATTTTATCTTCATTGAAAATCTGTAATGAGTCCTTTGTTTCCTGTAAAACAATGAAGATCAGTCATTGCATATTTGTCAAGCGACAAACCATGTAAATGTGGCGAACATCCTGTGAACAACCCCAAGCACCTCTTTAACCCAGATTTTATTCAAATCCTCGACACCTGAAAAATTGTAAGGAGAAGTTCAGTCTAGTCTTTCATGTTTTTGGCACTTGGTATATGTTTACCTTAAAAATAACTAGCAGTGTCTAGCACACCTTTTCAGGACATTTTCTAAAAGTTCTCAAATATTTTGACATCAAAACGTAAACTCAATACCAACACAAGTTTATAAAACACCTCAAAACTTTCTGGTTCAATGAGAACTCCCAACAACAGAAAACTTGGTCAGATATCTCACTGGTTTCTTTCTTTAGCACATATATATATATACCAACACAATAATAATGAAATAGATAAAGATAAATTTATTCTTACAGGAGTTAAATTTCAATGAGACAGCAACAAGTTTCTAAATATATTCTGATGGAGAACTTGAAAGTTATATGTATGATACAGAATACATAAAAGTGCTGGATAGCACCTGTGGAAAGTTTGCAACAGTAGATGTGTAATATTTCAAATAGGTTGTAAATGTGTAGATTGGGTGTTTTAAAAAAAAATTACTTAATACAAGAAATAATTGTAACATGGTGCTGTTAGGAAGTCTCCCAAACAAAGCTCCGATAATTAGTCATTCCCAGGAAGGGGATAGGAGTGACCCCAGGGGATTCACCTTTTATTTCATTTGATTTGTTTTATTGTCCCATACAAGAATATATATGGTTTCGGGGTGGGGATCTTGACCGTTAAAAAGTTCTCAAAACAGGATGGGGTGGTGGTGACACCCAGGGACTCCCTCTATATTTCGTTTGATTTGTTTTATTGTCCCATACAAGAATATATATGGTTTAGGGGTGGGGATCACGACCGTTTACAAGTTTTCAAAAAGAAGGGGGGTGGGGTGACCCCTGTGGACTTCCTCTATATTTCATATGATTTGTTTAATTGTCCCATACAAGAATATATATGGTTTATGGGTGGTGATCTCAACCGTTTACAAGTTCTTAAACAGGAATGGGGTGGGAGTGACCCCAGGGGACTTGTCTTTTATTTCATTTGATTGGTTTTTGTTGTCCCGTACAAGAATATATATGGTTTAGGGGTGGGGATCTCAACAGTTTACAAGTTCTCAAACAGGAGGGGGTAGGGCTGATCCAGAGGGACTCCCGCTATATTTCATTTGATTTGTTTTACAATCCTATGATCATTACTGAAAACCGAGTGAACATTCAGTACATTTTAATTCAAACTGTAAGCTAATCAAAAAAGAAGTAACTCAAAATTTCAAAAGCATCTTCCTAGAATTAGTTGTCAAACACCAGTACTACATTATCTCGGAGTAGAACACACATCCTCAAGTAAGATAGTCTGTCACTTCCGGTTTGAGGCCGATGCCTTAGGAAAGTTTTTGCTATAGCAATCTACAGCAAACTTTCCAAAAATTCGTAAGGGTTCCGCGGAACCCAGTGTCTCGCCTACTTTTGCTGTTAATCGCAGGCTCAACAAAAATGAGGAAAAAAATTAATAAAAATATTCCTCTCTATACTATCTTTTGATTGTAAGTAGCTTCTGTCCAAGTTTGGTAAAAATCCAGGATAGTTTATCAATCTAATAAATGTTTTAAAAACTTAAAGTGCAGACTGTATGTAATGTTAACTGGAAGAAAAACTAAGTCCATTTACAAGTAAAATAAGGAAAAAATGGAATTTATTTTTTACTTTTTTACAAAATTTACTTCTGGATACTATCTTTTGATCATAAACAAGGTTCTTTCCAAGTTTGGTAGAAATCCAGGATAGTTTAAGAAAGTTATTAAAATTTCAAAAACTTTAACCACAGAGTGAATGTAATGTTTCATGGCAGAAAAACTAAGTCCATTTATAAGTAAAATACAGAAAAAATGGAATTTTTTTTTTACAAAATTTACTTCTGGATACTATCTTTTGATCATAAACAAGCTTCTTTCCAAGTTTGGTAGAAATCCAGGATAGTTTAAGAAAGTTATTAAAATTTCAAAAACTTTAACCACAGAGTGAATGTAATGTTTCTTGGCAGAAAAACTAAGTCCATTTATAAGTAAAATACGGAAAAAATCGAATTTTTTTTTTTACAAAATTTACTTTTGAATATTATCTTATGATCATAAACAAGCTTCTGTCCAAGTTTGGTAGAAATCCAGGATAGTTTAAGAAAGTTATTAAAATTTCAAAAACTTTAACCACAGAGTGAATGTTATGTTTCTTGGCAGAAAAACTAAGTCCATTTATAAGTAAAATACGGAAAAATTGGAATTTTTTTTTTACAAAATTTACTTTTGAATATTATCTTATGATCATAAACAAGCTTCTGTCCAAGTTTGGTAGAAATCCAGGATAGTTTAAGAAAGTTATTAAAATTTCAAAAACTTTAACCACAGAGTGAATATTTGTGGACGCCGCCGACGACGACGACGGAATGTAGGATCGCT